AAACCTTTCTCCTTTGCTTTTTTCCTTGTATCTAAATGATTTACAAGGATTTTTAGAAAATTCTAATATTGAAGGAATTCAGTCTGTCACACAAGATATTGAAAACGAACTTTTTGTATATTTTAAAATTTTTCTGTTATTGTATGCAGATGATACAATATGCAGTATTTCAGAAATTGTCAGCATAAATGGGAAAAAACTAACCTAATATTATTTTTTATATATCTATGTACACTATTTAGTTTCGTACTACTTCCAAAATTTGGTCACCGATCTTAACAAACTATTGATTTGTTACGAAGAGTAGTATATACTACTTGCTGAATCTAGCCATGATTTACAATGTATGTTAGATAAGTTTTCAGAGTATTGTAAACAATGGAAATTGAAAATTAATATAAATAAAACGAAAATTATGATATTTTCAAAAGGAAGAATAACCCCGAAACTTTATATTTAATATAGATGAAAATGAAATTGAGATAGTCAGTAGCTATAAATATCTTGGTATCATATTTTCTAAAAGTGGCTCATTTCTTTCCAACAATATTGTAATAAAAATATAAATGTTAATAAATTGAAACAAGTATGTTCAACCCAAAATATTGTTGAGCTTGAGAAACTTTGTAGATTTATTAAATCTATTTCTGTGAAAGTCTATCCTCCTGGTTAAAACAACTATATGTTTATTTATCTTTTGTGTAAATATTTATCATATTAATTTGTATTTCACACATGCTATATTTAATATTTGTTATTATTGTAATATCTTCTCTGTAACTATGTATTTGGTTTATGAGAATAAAGATCATTCATTCATTCGTATAAGAAAGAAATAAAAGAAAGGGAATTATAGCAAGTCTACTCAAGCTGCTATACTATCGGGGTATCATATAAATCTTATCAGGTAGGAATCTGATGTTCAGTAGTTGTCGTTTGTTGATGTGGTTCATAAGTGTTTCTCGTTTCTCGTTTTTTATATAGATTAGACCGTTGGTTTTCCCGTTTGAATGGTTTTACACTAGTAATTTTTTGGGGCCCTTTATAGCTTACTGTTCGGTGTGAGCCAAGGCTCCGTGTTGAAGACCGTACTGTGACCTATAATGGTTTACTTTTATAAATTTTGACTTGGATGGAGAGTTGTCTCATCGGCACTCATACCACATCTTCTTATATCTATTAATTACTGCCGTTATTAATTATCATGTGATTATTATATGCAATATACATGTATAATCAACACCTGTTTCCTGAAACGGCTCTAATTAAAAGGATAAAGGTAACCATCCTATTGTTTTTATTGCAGTTAATTGAAGATAATCATAGAATCGTCATAATACCAGTAGTGAAATACAAAATGTAAACAGAAAACAACGATAAAATCATTGACAATGTTAAATATTTATTACTGTTTAGTGTTACCACAGTTTATTAGATACTTTGATGTATGGGGGTGCTATTTGTAAAGTTTATCTAACTATTTCTAGAAGAAAAGAACATTTGTAAAAATAAATACGTTTCAGTCCGGTAAATCCGCCCACATAAGGCTTTGATCGTATGTATTTCTGCTTAATTATATACAAATTGTATCACATTTAATATAAATCGATTCACTGACAAATCAACGTTGAGTAGTTTATCTCATTTCCCAAAAAATAAATTTTAAAATCAACAAAACAAGTGGGTCATCCGTGTTTTTATCGGAAATGTGTTTGTCCGGTAATTCCGCCCATGCCCAGTTAATATGTATGGAGGGCCAATTTAATTTTAGTCAAAAATTTATGAAAGGAAAAGGTGATCTATTTATTAAAGACCACTTATAAAGGAATTCAAGATAATCCACAAAAAAAAATATTCAGGTCAGAAATGAGATTTGTAAGCAATAATATGATTATCATTAGCTTTAGGAACTGTATTATATATATCACTAGATATTTTCGTAAAAAAGGATTTTAATTTCACATCCAGTGATGATAAGTACAGTTCCTTTGAATAAAATAGCAGACGAAATATTCACGGAAGTGACAATTACGGAAGTAAATGGGGATTTTGGGGGGGGGGGTGTTACTAACCCGAATAATTCAGTCGTTATATTCCACTGTTCTACGATGGCTACATTAACGCGAGTGGGAGAGTCGATCACGAGGTGGGACTGAATTATTCGGGTTAGGGGGTTACCGGACGAGCGGAATTACCGGACACTACTGTAAATAAGATATTAAATACAAACACAAATGTTTATAGAAGACAACATAAAGAAGTGACAAAATTGAATTACAAATAAAAATGAAAATAAGTCTTTATTGGCACAATAATATATCTGATACATCTAATATTATTTTAAATGGGCCGAGTTTGTAATATGCCGAGTTTGTAATGTGCCGAGTTTGCACTTTGCCGAGTTGACATGTGCCGAGTTTGTAATGTGCCGAGATGTCTTGCTTCGACAATAAGCTGTGTGTGCCGGTCTCACTAATTAGCGACAACAAGAATTTTAGCGACAAGAAGCGTCAACAAGCGACAAGAAGAATTATTTTAGCGACAAGAAGCGACAAGAAACTATTTAGCGACAAGAAAACATATTTTTTTTAATTAAAATTAATTATTGCAATAAATATTAAAAGAATATGCAAAAGAAAATAATTTTAGCGACAAGAAAGTTAAAATTGATAGAAAAAAATGAAACATTATTTACATAATATTTTATCATCTATTATGTATAACAGCCAGTATTACGTTTAATTATTGTATTATGAGATTACCTTTCCTTGTGTTTTAGAACATATTATTTATCTTATAATTTGTTTTTTAAAACTCTTTTCGTGCAATATATATTAAACTCGCAAAATGAATTATTTGTGCATCATTGTCCTGAAAATATTGACACAAATTGTGAAATACAAAGAACTGAAATCAAACAAGAGGAAAAGAAAATTGAAATGTGAATGTTTTCATCTTTTTATTTGTTTATTGCCTCATTAAACGATATTTATCATGTTTATGCATATTGATTGAAGATGAAAGGAAATTAATGACAATCTTGAGTTTTCAACAGGTGTTCACTATTTACAATGATTGTATATTCTGGCGCGTGTAATTGTATAGTCTGACGCGTGTACAAAGTTGAAAGTGTTAATTGGATGTTATTGTAGCAATAAAACAGGGGACACACGCCTCGTTAATCTCATTTGATGTTCCACATTGTGTGTACTGTTATTACCTTAGGGTGAAGCCACATCTAATGTTGTTCCTATCAAGAACAATGAATTATACTGTTAGAAAGGAAATTATATTTCATGTTTTTGTTTCAATAAATCCTTCAAAGGAAAGTTGACCTTTTTTTGTTTTTGTTTCAGTTTTATAGAGTATGCATTTCCTTTGCTCTACCAAGCTGACTGAAGCCATTCAACTTTCATGTTTAGAATAAAGTAAATTGTCAGCATTTCAGTATTATTCTCGCAAAAGTACGTGCTCTGTGAAATTGCTAGAATCTAAAACGCAACCCGGTTTACCTTTGATTAATAAATCAGTTACTTTGTACGTCTTTGATACTGCGCGGTATCAAACGAACCCTTTGGTACAGGGTTTCAATTTCCTTTTGGGCAAGGGAAAAAAAGGTTACGACTCGAACTTCGATAAATGCATATTAGAAGTATTATAAATATACTATAGTGGACACGTCCGTTCATGATATCCCCTTGGGCAAGGGTAAATATTGAAACGCACTTATTTTGTCACATCGCCGTGTCAAACTGAATCCCTTGGGATAAACGTTTTCCTCTTGGGCAAAGGAAATAGTAAGGGAAGTTATACCCTGCAATATTAGTCTTACACTCTAAAAATGGCACACCCATGTGGTAACTGTTCAAAAAACTGCACTCGAATGTGTGTGTTTTGTGAAAAATGTGAAACATGGTTTCACCAAAAATGCCAGAAATTAACAAAAGATCAGTTTCGGATCTTAAGTCAGACTATGGCAGATTAAATCGGAGAAAGAAAAGGCTTTTGCATTGCAAAAATTCTTGACTCATGGGAGAAAGTTAAACGCAATCCCAGAGTACACCACTTCAACAGATGGTGGGCTGACAATCCCCAAAACAAGTGCATGTGCACGTAAACCTTGCCAACGGAAACGTATTAAAAATGCTAAAACTACAACTTCAAAAAGGGCAAAAATACAGTGAACCTTAGTGGTAAAAATCTACGGCTTATCAAAATGGGACCACCATGTACAAAATGTATAAATATTATGTTAGATAGGAATGTACATATTACTATATAATGACTAAAAATAATTAAAAAAAAAAAAAAAAAAAATTATATGGACCCCAAGGTAGAACCACGTCCTCGTCGTGGGGTCTGGAAACACGCTTAAATAATAAAGATGGCAAAGCGTGGCTGAGAGTTCTACAAATAAAGCATCGAATTGACATAACAAGAGTACACTTAGAGCATAGTATTAAGCAAATGAATCAAAATATTATATTCCATTATGCCCGCTCCATATATATCTCCATTCGTTTATTCATACTTTGACTTTGATGAAAACAGATACATACATTATCTTATACATATTCTTCATATTTAAAAATTAAAAAAAGAAGCTCAATCTCTTTCTTCTTCACAAATGTTTAATTTCTTCATCTACCAATATACTAATATAAACTTCACAATCTCTTTCTTCCTCACAAATGTTTCATTTCTTCGTCTATCTATATAATAAAACATTTTAATTAGACATATCTGCTCGTATATTTAAAAAAAAAACATTAAATACAAATTTCTTTATATCTAATAAAAAAAAAAAATGTTTTCTTGTCGCTAAATAGTCTTCTTGTCGCTTCTTGTCGCTAAAATAATTCTTGTTGTCGCTTCTTGTCGCTTGTTGACGCTTGTTGTCGCTTCTTGACGCTTGTTGTCGCTAATTAGTGAGACCCGTGTGTGCTCCAACGTTGGAGGGATTTACGTGAAGAAGAAGAAACAGTAACGTCACTCCCGGAAGTCTATTTCATGTTTATGTTTATGGTCTACAAGAAAATCTAACAATAATTGATAATTTTACAGATTCTATAAACAATGGGTGCTTTAACAAGCCGACAGGCCAACGGAAACGAAGATATAGACACTGCTTGTAATAACGTGTATAGATACCCACCGAAATCAGGTAACAAAAAACATCTGAGCTAGGTCAGGAATAACCATTGTTATTGATAATTTAATTGGTGCAATTCACGTATAGAATCCACCATTTGACAGATTAGACAGCCAAGAAATTAAAGGTAGAGCGTGATAACATCATTTTGATTACTTGAACTCTTCAGTTGAATCTCGTATGAAAAAGCCTAAGGGACAGCTGGGCCTTATGGCTGAACCCAGCAGGCACAAAACGTTGTATCAACGTTGATCCAATGTCAGTCTTCAACGTTGTTACAACGTTGAAACTTGGGTTAGTTTTGAAAGTTGTAATGACGTTGAAATTCTGACGTTGAATCAACGTTGCAGTTTCAACGTTGTATTGACGTTGATAACATGTTGAAATCGGGTCCAGTGAGGTTGAAATCAGGTCTAAGTTAGGTTGAAATCAGGTCGGGTTTAGGTTGAAATCAGGTCGAGTTAGGTTGAAGTCAGGTCAATTGTAGGTTAGTTGAAGTGATGGTTCTTGGATGTATATTGATCCTTATTGGCACTTGTTCAAATACAATAACAAGATACCTGAATTATGAAACAAAAAAGCCTCTTTCAAGTTTTATTTCAAGTTAGAATATCCATCAACAGTTCTTTTATCAACAAGAGACAACTCCAAAAGAGAATAGTAGACAATAACAATCAAAACCAAAGAGGAGAGACGGTTACAATATCAAGCTTTTATTTGAAACCAAATATCTCAATATTAACAAAGCTTTCTCTTCTAGCACATCAATTTCTCAAAGCAAAGGTACATATGTAAAAACTCACTACAGCACACTGGTTTGATTCTGGTTGATCAAGTTTTTCAACTTATACAAAATCATGTAAATGCAGCAAATTTGACACAGTTACACAAAATGCCTCCTTTGTTTTATGTGAATACATAGCAGGACCATTTAAAAAAAACCTGATTTCATTTTAAGTTTTTGTTATCCGATATTTAGTTCTTTTTTTTTTGTCTTTTTTTTAAATTTTTTATTGATATCTTGTTGAACTGATATTTGACTTTTTGAGGGTATACCGTATGTGTTTTTTTTACATTTATCTTGAAGGCATTTGGAACAAACCATACCATCACCAAGCTGTTTACTCATTCAATCATTATCTATACACCCGATACAATTGAGTAAACCGAACAAAAAGTTGCATACCGGTAACACCAAATAATGTATTTCTAAATTTCACTGCCCTTTTTTTTACTGGCACTAAATTAACTATAGAAATTAACAAAAAAGAGGTTTTTAAAATGAAAAATATATTTTGTTTTAAAGATTTATTCTTTTGGCCTAGCAACTCCTTCTGCTCTCTGTGGGGCACACTTTACATGTCTTGCACACTGCTCAGGTATTTTGGATTCTGGTGTCTCTTTTTGGCAGAATAGAACAGCATCTGAAAGCATGGAAGAGAAATAACATAAATTTGAATTACATAATAAAAGTTGTGTACTTTTAAAAGCCGGAAATGTTATCAAATTCTACCAATTATAAAACAATTATTTTAAATCATAGAACACAACATGTTCATTGAAACAATTGTTCCAGCTTGCATCAATAACAAGACAAAGCATGAATTCTAACCAGATCTGTGTTTTGCAATAAGCATAATGTTCATATACAGATGAAATTATGAAAGAAGAGTGATATTTTACGTAAAAATCTAAACAGTGTTTAAGAGCAGACCATTTCTATGTGTATCAGACACACCCTATCGAGTTGTATTGGAGCGAATTGGCTAGTATTCGATGGCACCCCCCCCCCCCCCCCCTTTTCTGATATTACTGATTTTGTACATGACTAGAGTTTTATTTTAGTTCGCTAATTAGAGGTTATATACAATCAAATCATTTAACTATTTTGACACGAAACTGACTCAGATTCAGTAAGATAAGACCTTGTCATAATTTCTGTGAACGTAAACATGCTAATAACTAATTTGATCATTTGAATGTGTTTGTATATATCATGATTCTTCGTTAATTTAACTATAAAATATACTTACTCTAATATCAAGAGGTTTATACAGAAAAGTCTTCTCTCGTCTTTATATTCCTTAGACGCAGTTGTTCACTATTTGTTCATCAGTCTGGTGCGATAATTTCTCGAGGATGATTTTCAAAATGTTCTAAACGGATGTTGAAAAGAGGTGCGCGTGCTTGCGTGCGCATCCGAAAGAAAATATTCGGAACTCAACTTGAAAAACCGCGAAAATTAAAAAAATTCTCAATTATTATGATTACATTGTACATCTATGATATTTTAAGTTTCTATATTAAATATCAATCGGTAAAACTAATTAAAATAAATATACCAAAAAATTTCTCCTATTTATTTAAATGAAAGAAAGCAACTAAACAAAATCAATTTGATTTTAAAATATAAACTAAGAATACATGTATATCATATTTATACAGATATACATATTATTAAGATAGCATAAACAGGTTTTGAGATCTTCCAAAATATAGAGAATCATCAAACCCAAATTACTTAATAATTGGTTAGAATTGGTTTTTATACGACCGCAAAAAAAATTTTGTGGTCGTATATTGGTATGACGTTGGCGTCGTCGTCGTCCGGCGTCGTCGTCATCGTTGTCGTCCGGCGTCGTCCGAAGACACATTGGTTTTCGCACTCTAACTTTAGTTTAAGTGAATGGATCTTTATGAAATTTTACCACAAGGTTCAATACCACAAAAGGCAGGTTGGGATTGATTTTGGGGGTTATGGTAATAACAGTAAAGGAATTAGGGGCCAAAAATAAGCATTTTTGTAACTTCCAGACATAACTTGTGTGTTAGTGTATGGATCTCTCTGACATTGTACCACAAGGTTCCATATCACTAAAGGAATGCTGGGATTGATTTTGGGGGTAATTGCCTCCAAATTTTAGGAATTAGAGGCCAAAAAAGGGGCAAAAAACAAGCATTTTTCTAGTTTCATGACAATAACTTGTGTGTAAGTGTATGGATCTTTCTGAAATTGTACTACAAGGTTCCATATCACAAAGGGAAAGCTGGGTTTGAGTTTGGGGGTAATTGCCCTAAACGTTTAGGAATTTGGGGCCAAAAAGGGGCCAAAAAACACATTGTTTTCTAGTTTCCAGACAATAACTTGTGTTCAAGTGTATGGATCTCTCTGAAATTGTACTGCAAGGTACCATACCACAAAGGGAAGGCTGGGATTGAGTTTGGGGGTGATGAATCATAATGGGGGTTCAAAAAATTTTGGGGGGGGAATTATTTTTTTTTCCTTTTTTTTCTTTTTTTCCTTTTTTGTTTCTTTTAAAATTTTCCATTTTAAGTTGGTTATTTCTGATTTATATTTAAAATCAAATAATAATGATATGGTAGGAGATACACACCAAACAGGATGTGTAAATTATTATATAATAAGTATTGTGCAATAGCAAGAAATTTTCAATTGCACAGTATTGCACAATAGCAAGAAATCTTCAATTGCACAGTATTGCGCAATAGCAAGAAATCTTCAATTGCACAGTATTGCGCAATAGCAAGAAATATCCAATAGCACAATATTGCGCAATAGCAAGAAATTGTCAATTGTACAGTATTGCGCAATAGCAAGAAATATTTAATAGCACAGGATTGTGCAAAAGAAGATACTTCCTATAAATTGCTTATTTCTTGACCAATTTCAATGGGGTTTTATTCTTGATTTCATGGGGTTCTTTAATATGCTGAATCTAACCGTGTATTTAGTTTTTGGATTTTGGGCCCCGTTTTTAAATTGGTCCACATTGAGGTCCAAAGGGTCCAAAATTAAACTTTGTTTGATTTCATCAAAAATTGAATTATTGGGGTTCTTTGATATGCCGAATCTAACTGTGTATTTAGATTCTTAAATTTTGGTTCCGTTTTCAAATTGGTCTACATTAAGGTCCAAAGGGTCCAAAATTAAACTTAGTTTGATTTTAACAAAAATTGAATTCTTAGGGTTCTTTGATATGCTGAATCTAAACATGTATTTAGATTTTTGATTATGGGCCCAGTTTTCAAGTTGGTCCAAATCGGGGTCCAAAATTAAACTTTGTTTGATTTCAACAAAAATTGAATATATGGGGTTCTTTGATATGCTGAATCTAACCATGTATTTAGATTTTTGATTTTTGGGCCCCGTTATCAACTTTGTCCACATTGAGGTCAAAAGGGTCCAAAATTAAACTTTGTTTGATTTCATCAAAAATTGAATTATTGGGGTTCTTTGATATGCCGAATCTAACCGTGTATTTAGATTCTTAATTTTGGTTCCGTTTTCAAATTGGTCTACATTAAGGTCCAAAGGGTCCAAAATTAAACTTAGTTTGATTTTAACAAAAATTGAATTCTTAGGGTTCTTTGATATGCTGAATCTAAACATGTATTTAGATTTTTGATTATGGGCCCAGTTTTCAAGTTGGTCCAAATCGGGGTCCAAAATTAAACTTTGTTTGATTTCAACAAAAATTGAATATATGGGGTTCTTTGATATGCTGAATCTAACCATGTATTTAGATTTTTGATTTTTGGGCCCCGTTATCAACTTTGTCCACATTGAGGTCAAAAGGGTCCAAAATTAAACTTTGTTTGATTTCATCAAAAATTGAATTCTTGGGGTTCTTTGATATGCTGAATCTAACCATGTATTTAGATTTTGGATATTGGACCATAATAGGTGAATGTCCAATTTAAAATTTTTAAGTTCTTAGACCACATTCAATCTGTGTTAGAAACCTATGCTGTGTCAAATATTTAATCACAATCCAAATCCAAAGCTGTATCAAGCTTGAATGTTGTGTCCATACTTCCCCCAACTGTTCAGGGTTCGACCTCTGCGGTCGTATCAAGCTGCGCCCTGCGGAGCATTTTATTTAAAGATACTTTAAAAATAAACACAAAAAAAAATTAATTTGAAAAAGCCGATTTGTTATTGTTGATGTCTCCTGACCACTTGTTCTTGCCCAAAACTCTTTTCCATGCATAAACAATGCAATCCGGTCTACCCCCTTTTTCTAGGAAAAAAAATGATTGATTATATAGGGATCATGGAAGCATGACAGGAGGAAGCCCCCTCACGCTAATGGCAGTCAGTGGACCCCCTTATAAGTATTATAAAAAGTTCTGGATTAGCCACTTATTATCCAATCGTTTATAATACTGCAGCACTGCTTCTTTTCCAATCTGCTCATCAAATATATCTATACCCTTCAATTTTGACAATGAGATTTTCTGTCGCGATTGACTGACGTTAACCCAACGTTGAATCAACGTTGTTGTTTAAACGTTGATTTTAACGACGTAAATTCAACGTTGAAACAACGTTGTATAGTCAACGTTGAATACCATGACGTTAGATCAACGTTGAATTTAGGTCGATCAACGTCACGACCAAATTTCAACCAAATTTCAACGTTGTTACAACGTCGAGTGCCCACTGGGAATAGACGTATTTACACTTGTATGCAAATTTGTCTGCCATAATGTAAAATCACACAGGTTCCCGTAAACTTTGACATCATAATTCAAAACATTTGACGTCACAATTAAAAAGTGATTGTTGCCTGACGTCAAAAGGTGATTCGGAGTAGATCTAAGGTCATTCGGAGGCAAAATATAGCTAAATACCAAAAGTGTAAATACGTTTATTGACTGTGTTTACACCACAAAATTTACTCCGAGTATAAATTTTGTCAAAAAAATCAAGCTTACATCGATCGGTGTAAGTTTTGGGGAAAATAATTGCTTTATGTTTTCTATACACGACAAAATCATAAAAAAACTCTCAATTTGCACGGTAAGTAAGCTTGATTTTAATTTTTACTTCTTTTCGTTGCTCTTACATGTACTTGATGGAGTACCAGGATGTCCTACCACAGAGTAGGTAACCTGTTAAAAAATTGTATACTTTTGAAATATGAATGATAACAACAATAATAATGTCTCTAGTATTAGAATTTGCTATATATATGTTAATCATTATGTGGTATCCTGTGGTGTTCTGTGGTAAAAAGATTTACCTGGTGTAATCAACTCTTTACAGTTTTCAACCTAGTTCCTTGAAACTGACTGAAAGATTAGACATACATGTGCTTAAAAGTTGTTCACCTGCATTTACAATGTATATTTAAGTCTGTTGGGGGACTTTTTCCAAGACTTGGAAACTTTATATCTTTCAAAAAAAATTGACAAAAAAACTGGTACATGTACCAATTTTATGAAATCTTCTGTTTATTTTCAACCGAATTCCTTGAAACATTTCATAACAAATGTACATCAATTGAAGTTGTGTTCCTCCCATTATGGGGTTGTTTTATTATTGAAGTTGGTTTTACTATAGAAGTTGTGTTCCTCCCATTATGGGGTTGTTTTACTATTGAAGATGTGTTCCTCCCATTATGTGGTTTTAATTGAAGTTTTGTTCCTACCATTATGGGGTTGTTTTACTATTGAAGGTGTGTTCCTCCCATTATTGGGTTGTTTTACTATTGAAGTTGTTTTCTTCCCATTATGTGGTTGTTTTACTATTGAAGTTGTGTGTTCCTCCCTTTATAGGGTTGTTTTACTATTGAAGTTGTGTTCCTCCCATTATAATTTATAGGGTTGTTTTACTATTGAAGTTGTGTTCTTCCCATTATTGGGTTGTTTTACTATTGAAGTTGTTTTCCTCCCATTATGTGGTTGTTTTGGGTTGTTTTACTATTTAAGTTGTGTTCCTCCCATTATTGGGTTGTTTTACTATTGAAGTTGTTTTCTTCCCATTATGTGGTTGTTTTACTATTGAAGTTGTGTTCCTCCCTTTATATTGTTGTTTTACTATTGAAGTTGTGTTCCTCCCATTATAGGGTTGTTTTACTATTGAAGTTGTGTTCTTCCCATTATTGGGTTGTTTTACTATTGAAGTTGTTTTCCTCCCATTATGTGGTTGTTTTGGGTTGTTTTACTATTTAAGTTGTGTTCTTCCCATTATAGGGTTGTTTTACTATTGAAGTTGTGTTCCTCCCTTGATATTGTTGTTTTACTATTTAAGTTGTGTTCCTCCCATTATAGGGTTGTTTTACTATTGAAGTTGTGTTCCTCCCATTATTGGGTTGTTTTACTATTGAAGTTGTTTTCCTCCCATTATAGGGTTGTTTTACTATTGAAGTTGTGTTCTTCCCATTATAGGGTTGTTTTACTATTGAAATTGTGTTCCTCCAATTATTGGGTTGTTTTACTATTTAAGTTGTTTTCCTCCCATTATAGGGTTGTTTTACAATTGAAGTTGTGTTCTTCCTATTATTGGGTTGTTTTACTATTGAAGTTGTGCTCTTCCCATTATAGGGTTGTTTTACTATTGAAGTTGTGTTCCTCCCATTATAGGGTTGTTTTACTATTGAAGTTTTGTTCCTCCCTTTATGTGGTTGTTTTAATTGAAGTTGTGTTACTCCCTTTATATGGTTGTTATACTATTGAAGTTGTGTTCCTCCCATTAAAGGGTTGTTTTACTCTTGAAGTTGTGTTCGTCCCATTATGTGGTTGTTTTGATTGAAGTTGTGTTACTCCCTTTATAGGGTTGTTATACTATTGAAGTTGTGTTCCTCCCATTATAGGGTTGATTAACTCTTGAAGTTGTGTTCGTCCCATTATAGGGTTGTTTTATTATTGAAGTTGTGTTCCTCCCATTATGGGGTTGTTTTACTATTGAAGTTGTGTTCCTCCCATTATGGGGTTGTTTTACTATTGGAGTTGCGTTCCTCCCATTATGTGGTTGTAATTGAAGTTTTGTTCCTACCATTATGGGGTTGTTTTACTATTGAAGGTGTGTTCCTCCCATTATGTGGTTGTAATTGAAGTTGTGTTTCTCCCATTATTGGGTTGTTTTACTATTTACGTTGTGTTCCTCCCATTATAGGGTTGTTTTACTATTGAAGTTGTGTTCTTCCCATTATTGGGTTGTTTTACTATTTAAGTTGTGTTCCTCCCATTATTGGGTTGTTTTACTATTTAAGTTGTGTTCCTCCCATTATTGGGTTGTTTTACTATTGAAGTTGTTTTCTTCCCATTATGTGGTTGTTTTACTATTGAAGTTGTGTTCCTCCCTTTATAGGGTTGTTTTACTATTGAAGTTGTGTTCTTCCCATTATTGGGTTGTTTTACTATTGAAGTTGTTTTCCTCCCATTATGTGGTTGTTTTGGGTTGTTTTACTATTTAAGTTGTGTTCCTCCCATTATTGGGTTGTTTTACTATTGAAGTTGTTTTCTTCCCATTATGTGGTTGTTTTACTATTGAAGTTGTGTTCCTCCCTTTATATTGTTGTTTTACTATTGAAGTTGTGTTCCTCCCATTATAGGGTTGTTTTACTATTGAAGTTGTGTTCTTCCCATTATTGGGTTGTTTTACTATTGAAGTTGTTTTCCTCCCATTATGTGGTTGTTTTGGGTTGTTTTACTATTTAAGTTGTGTTCCTCCCATTATTGGGTTGTTTTACTATTGAAGTTGTTTTCTTCCCATTATGTGGTTGTTTTAATATTGAAGTTGTGTTCCTCCCTTTATATTGTTGTTTTACTATTGAAGTTGTGTTCCTCCCGTTATAGGGTTGTTTTACTATTGAAGTTGTGTTCTTCCCATTATTGGGTTGTTTTACTATTGAAGTTGTTTTCCTCCCATTATGTGGTTGTTTTGGGTTGTTTTACTATTTAAGTTGTGTTCTTCCCATTATAGGATTGTTTTACTATTGAAGTTGTGTTCCTCCCTTTATATGGTTGTTTTACTATTTAAGTTGTGTTCCTCCCATTATAGGGTTGTTTTACTATTGAAGTTGTGTTCCTCCCATTTTAGGGTTGTTTTACTATTGAAGTTGTTTTCCTCCCATTATAGGGTTGTTTTACTATTGAAGTTGTGTTCTTCCCATTATTGGGTTGTTTTACTATTGAAGTTGTGTTCTTCCCATTATAGGGTTGTTTTACTATTGAAGTTGTGTTCCTCCCATTATAGGGTTGTTTTACTATTGAAATTTTGTTCCTCCCTTTATGTGGTTGTTTTAATTGAAGTTGTGTTACTCCCTTTATATGGTTGTTATACTATTGAAGTTGTGTTCCTCCCATTATAGGGTTGTTTTACTCTTGAAGTTGTGTTCGTCCCATTATGTGGTTGTTTTGATTGAAGTTGTGTTACTCCCTTTATAGGGTTGTTATACTATTGAAGTTGTGTTCCTCCCATTATAGGGTTGTTTTACTCTTGAAGTTGTGTTCGTCCCATTATAGGGTTGTTTTATTATTGAAGTTGTGTTCCTCCCATTATGGGGTTGTTTTACTATTGAAGTTGTGTTCCTCCCATTATGGGGTTGTTTTACTATTGAAGTTGCGTTCCTCCCATTATGGGGTTGTTTTAAATGACATTTTTAACTTTCATGTATTTTATTCCCTCAGTGTATATATTCTGAATCTAAAAAATTAATATGATCTGTTTAAAAACTGTCATTTACAAAATGTAATTCTGCCGTGTTGAATAAAATTCCTTAAATTTTATTGAGTACATGTACAAGTTTAAGCTGTTTCTTTATTATCTTTCAGGCAACTATTTTGGAAGTCATTTTATCATGGGAGGAGAAAGATTTGATATGAGTCAGCCAGAGGCTTATCTGTTTGGAGAAAATCAGGATCTCAATTTTCTTGGATCGAAGCCTGTTGCTGTAAGTTGCTTGAATTTGTATGAAAATAATAAATTTACCTTGTCATCATTTTTATGACATAAACAGTACCAATTTAACTGCACTCGATGTCATCATTTTTATGAGATAAACAGTACCAATTTTACCGCACCGCACCTGATGATTTTTTCGACAATTAATGTCTCCAGTGAAGTTAAAATTACAAATGTATTTGAAAGTCCAAAACCTAATACAAAGTGAAACATTGAAGAGTTCCAAAAAGTACCAAAAGTAAATCCAAACCAGACAAGGATTCAGAGCTATATGTATGAGGGAGATGCAGTTCTTAATTTAAAATGTTTTTTAAATTTTGTAACAGCAAATTTAAATCAAACAATACATATGCATGTTTCCCTATTTTCATGATAGTCCAGAAGTACTGGCTACTGGGCTGGTGATCATGATACCCTCCTGGACTTACATTTGTACAGTCCACCAGCAGAGATATTGACCAGTGGTAGTATTAACATTAAAGGTACCAATTTTACTGCACCAGATGCCAATTTTGACAATTATTGTCTCAAGTGATGCTCAAGGCTAAAATATTTGTCCAAAACCAGATACAATTGTTGAGTAGCTGATAAAACCAAAAGGGACCAAAAGTAAATCTAAACCCAGACAAGGTCTTAGGATGTAGAGCTATGCAAGAAGGAGATATAGTTATGTGATGTAGATACAATGATTCATTGATTTTAGTTGAGCCTGCAATAAAAGTCCTTGAGGTAAAATGTATTCATCTTACATTCCGTCTGTGTCCATGTTGTCAACATCTAGATAGTCTGTGATAAAAGTTTTTTTATACTGTTTTTTTTTTTAAATTTACAGTCTATATATAGATATTGATCTTGACTTAAACCATGCTTAATCAAAAGTGTATTCCCTTCATGAAAATGGTCAATTGTGCTAACTAAAAATATTCATAACATGTGTTAGGGTAGGCATGAGAGTTGTAGGGTACATGTAGGTAGGGAATCAGGGACTCAATAATATTTGTTTGGCCTTATTAGCTCAACATTATTTACAATCACAGTGATTCAGTTAGAAATTACTCTGGCAAGTGTTTGCATGTAGGGAATCTCTTTGGAACATGGTGATTACTTGTTATCTAGTCTAATACTTTGATTTTGCAGTCCATTTGTGTACATTTTGGTTGACTGTTAAAGTAATTTAATACTTCATATCTTCATATTAAAAAATAAATTGGTTTCTGTTCTCTAACTTAAGTTTGCCTCAACCAAATATTATGAAACTTATACACAATGGTTATTACCACAAAACACAGATCAAATTTGAATTTAGGTGGCGACACTTATACCGTTCTAGAGTTATGCTACTTTACAAATGGAAAAATTGCTGAATTTTTCGTTTCTGTTCTCTAACTTTAGTTTGCCTCAACTAAATAATATGAAACTTATACACAATTCTTATTACCACAAAACACAGATCAAGTTTGAATTTTTGTGGCGTCACTTTTACCGTTCTAGAGATATAACCCTTTACAAATGGAAAATTGGTGAATTTTTCGTTTCCGTTCTCCAACTTTAGTTTGCCTCAACCAAATGTTATGAATCTTATACACTATGCTTATTGCTACAAAACACAGATCAAGTTTGAATTTTGGTGGCGTCACTTTTACCGTTCTAGAGTTATGCCCCTTTACAAATGGAAAAATTGCTGAATTTTTCGTTTCCGTTCTCTAAACTGATCAGATACAAATTTGGGTAGCGTCACTTTTACAGTTCTTGAGTAATGTCCCTTTATAACGTTTTCTGCAAGTGGGGGCATCATCTGTGTCCCATGGACACATTCCTCATTTATAATTACATATTTGAATTGAATAAATGAAAATAGCTTGTATGCAAATTTTCGTCAAAAAATCACAGTCGGATCAAAACTGTATTGTATTAAGGCCTTAACATTAAGGAAACTCATTTCATAGGACAGGTTGAATTAAGTTATATTTTCAGTAGATTAATAGGACCAATGTTTAACTGAATCATATCTTGAGTTCTGTGTTTCGATTATAATTTGATTTGTATATGACAAATTTTATTTTATTTTCAGTATCCTTATCCTTCATCATCAGGTAATGAACCTACCAAAACACTTAAAAGTCTGATCAACATCAGAAAGGATTCACTTCGATTTGTCAAGTAAGTCCATATATATACATATATACTTGTAGTTTCCCTGAGAAAATATATAAACATATATACTTGTAGTTCCGCAGAGAAAACAAACTGTTAAATATAAGAAAGATTTTTCTTTGTCTTCTCAAATCACCATTTATCTAAAACATCAGTTTACATGAGAAATTATTTCTTGGAAACACAACATCACTACACCACCTCTTTTTTAAGTTTGGTGAATTTTTTTTATTTTGCACAGTACATGTATTGACACAATATACCTTTTTGTTCATTTCATTTTTTGTTTATTTCTTGAGACATTTTTTGATAGTACAGGTCAATGTTTTTCATACATCATGTACATATAAAGCTCTGTAGTTTGTAGATACACATATGAATAAAAGTAGATTTTTGTGTAAATGTTAAAACCAGGAACTAAAAACTCTGTAAAATAAAAAAGAAATCTACCCCTTTTAGATTTATTCCTATCTACGTGTCTCACAAATACATACTTATCAGTCGTCCCACTGTCTGTATCACTCTGCTCAGCTCAATTAAATTGCTTATCAGGGCTTTGTGAGGTCAAATACGTTGACCTGGCCTTAATAACTTTGGCCTGTACATATCACCGACGTCATAATGAATGAACCGATGTTGATAAGTTTGACCCGAACTTATCAAATCATCTTCTGGTTTGCTGGTGAAACAAAGAAAACCCTTGTTTCTATCATGAAAATACGCAAATACAACCCGATAAATCGATTATCTGGTGGTTTGCATAATGATATTGTAAAATATGAATATGCAGACAACCTGATAATCGGTACGTATCCATACCTTATCATGACATGCTTGACCTGAATCTAGAAAAAGTTGAACTCAAAGAGACTGAAAGATTAGCCATCTTATGAAATACTTGTAGACAATAAATTAAGAAACCCTTGCCATTCACTTACTTGTGCCATTAATATGTGGAAGGGTTCAACTAACTGTATGAGTACTCAAATCAGTGGCATAGGAATAAAAGTTAAGGAGAAAACTAACACAACAAAAATCAAAAATACAAAAACAAAGTAATATTTATTCCAGTCAGTAAAATAGAAATAGAAAAATTGATTGAGATAATATTGCTTTTCAGGAGAATTTTAGAAAATAAGTTATCAACTTTGCCAATTTAAAAAAAATATTGTAAGGAAAACTATTAGTCCATACCAACTAAAGTGTTCCCTTTCTAGACTGTTACCCTTTGTAAAGACTAAAGAGGTTCATGGAAATAGCATAATCAGGAAACATAACACATATGATTTATATCAGTTTATAAAGGTATGCATTTAAACATTTCATGTTTCATTTTTGTTTCCTTAAAAAGGTTGAGTGGAGAGATATTTATAATATTTAATGTTATATTAATACATTGATAGTTTACTTTATAGCAACTCGATTTATTTTCTTGTTCTTTCCACGTTAGACAGGTTTCGGATATTTTTTGCAAGAATTAAATTTAATACGAGTTTCAAATTTCTGTCCAACCAATTTTTATGTATTTTGAGCTTCAAATTGTTTTTCAATGTATTTTCATCGTATTATTAATATACTTCCACTCAAAGAAGTGGGGGGGGGGGGGGGTTTGGGGAATATTGCATTCCTCATGTCTGTCTGTCCGTTTGTGTTAAATTTTTCTTAGTGATTTGACAGCTTTATTTCATTGGAATGACAAAATATAAGTTTTTATACGCCCATCAATTTTTGACAGGACGTATTATGGTATACAAATGTCCGGTGTCCGTCTGTCTGTCTGTCCGGCGTAAACATGTCGCACCGTAACTTGAGAATGACTTATCCAAATTTCATGAAACTTAACATAGTTGTTTCTTATGATGGTCAAACGATCTGTATACTTTTTGGTGAAAATAAGATTAAAACTTTTTGAGATACGGGACTTAGTAACTAAAACAGGTGTGTGTTTTTTTTCACATGTCGCGCCGTATCTCAAAAACAATTTATGATTATTGCTTAAAACTTTACACACTTCTTAGTTATATTAATCTTAAGATCTGTATACTTTTTGGTGATGATTCAAAATTTTATTTTAGAGATATTGAGTATTTTGTTGAAAAAGGGGGAGGGGTTTTTCACATGTCGCGCTGTATCTCAAAAACAGTTTATGATTATTGCTTAAAACTTTACACACTTCTTAGTTATATTAACTTTAAGATCTGTATACTTTTTGGTGCTGATTCAAAATTTTATTTTTGAGTTATTGAGTATTTTGTAAAAAAAAAGGGGGAGGGGTTTTTCACATGTCGCGCCGTATCCCAAAAACGATTTATGATTATTGCTTAAATTTTACACACTTCTTAGTTATATTAATCTAAAGATCTGTATACTTTTTGGTTTCGATTCAAAATTTTATTTTTGAGATATTGATTTTTTTTTTTTTTAAAGGGGGGTTTTCACATGTCGCGCCGTATCTCAAAAACGATTTATAATATATATAATAATAATAATAATAATAATAATAATAAATTCTTTATTTAAAGAGGGTAAACTCAGTTAGTTACAATAAACTAATCTTCCCTGAGGCCCTCACATACAAATTACAATACAATCAAAAAACAGATATTTACACATAGTTAATTTACAGTCAATTAGTTCAATGTAATATTACTAACATGATAAGATATAAGGCTGTTCAAGATGTACATGTAGTCAAAAAATCAAATACAAATATAAATAAAAGAATATACAAATACATTGTAGAAAACATAATCTTATCAGGACTGTGTTAAGTACTTCTTGATACTTTGTTTAAAAGTATAAGTGTTTTGAGCTTTACGCATTTTGTTTGGTAGTCCATTCCATAACACTGATCCAGAATAAACAAAAGATTTCTTAAATAGCTCAGCTTTTGGCTTAGGAACTATCAGATTACCTTGAGTGACGCCTCTCAGGGAGTAAGGATTATTATCTGATTTCAGTTTAAACTTTTGAACTAGGTACATTGGTGCTTCCATACGCATACATTTATATAGAAGTAAATATTTGTGGTATTTTATTCTATTGTCAACTGTCATCCACCCAAGTTCTTTAAATAAGGGGGCTGAGGGGGATAAAGGAACTGCATCTAGAATTAATCTTGCTGCCCTTTTTTGGAGTTTTAAAATTCTTGCTATCCCTTCATTTTTACATTCACCCCAAATAATACAGCAGTAGTCAATCAGGGGCAGAATATACCCATTGTAATATGTTTTCCTTGCATTTATATCTAAAAATTTCTTTATTTTAGAAAGGAGGTATGATTATTGCTTAAAATTTTACACACTTCTTAGTTATATTAATCTAAAGATCTGTATACTATTTGGTTTTGATTCAAAATTTCATTTTAGAGATATTGAGTTTTTTGTTAAAAAAAAAGGGGGGTTTTCGCATGTCACGCCGTATGTCAGAAACTGTTTATGCTTATTGCATAAAAATTCACACACAAGACGACGGGCGTATCATGCGCTCATGGCGCAGCTGTTTATTTCAAACTATTTAATACATTGTAGTAAATTAAGATCAAATTGTTGAACTTCCTGTTAAAGAAAAATGTAAATTTTGGCAGTTTTTCAAAAGTTAAATTTTGCATGTGACCCAGGACGTACCAATTCATCGGAGATTTATGATATCAATATCTCTATTGTTAAAACTTCCTGTTTTATAGAGTAGCATTGCCATGGTTACAGAGCAGCCTTTATTAATGAATGCACAATATCTTTTGCATGTGTAAAAATTTAATTAGTACATGTTAATTTGATGTTTAAGGGTTGATGAAGCTGAAGTAGAGGATGATCAGAAGACCACAAACAAATATAATGTAGAATTTGTCTTTGATTCTGATGTTAAATGTGCAATTACTATCTATTACTTTGCAACAGAGGAGTTTAACAATGGACAACTTGTGTAAGTTATCAAATCTGTACAACATTAAAACTATTTTTCTGAATCACGATTGATTTATTGTTGTTTACTTAAAAATCAAGTGACATATATGTCATTCATATTCAGACATCCATATGAAAAATAGGATAGGAAGATAGGAACTGAAAATATGCCCTGCATTAGGTCACCTGATGTAATATTCTGATTATTCCTATCAGATTTGAAAACAATTCTTAGTGAATATACTAGAAGTATTTGCAGCTGTCTAACTACCAACAATCAATCGATCATACACAATATATTTTACTAGCAAGATGCTCTTTTCTTGATATGGACAGGCTTGAGAAGTGAAATTGATACTGTAGGAATGAATATCCTCCTTGAATATGCATCCAAAGACAGCCAATTTCAACAGTTTATTAGTTATACTTGTTAATCCTAACCAATTTTGCATTTATACTGTAAAAATGTCACAATAATTATAGGAATTTATAATATTAGTTTATTATTTGTAGAATTAACTCTAAACATCCTATAAAGTCAGACACATACCATTATAAGAAAGGAGCCAATCAGTTGTTCTCACAGTCAGGGCATGTGATAGAACCTACCAATTATACTGAAGAAGAGGTAAGTCCCAGCCAATCATTGTTCTCACAGGCAGTTCATGTGATAGAACCCACCAATTACATTGAAAAAGAGATAAGTCCCAGCCACTCAGTTGCTTTCAGTCAGGTCATGTGATGGTACCCACCAAATTTTCTGAAGAAAAGCTTGAATCAAATTATTACAAACTTAACACTGTTGTTGTGATTGGTGAATATAGACTCGATTTTAACTTTGAAAATATTCTTGTTTGTCATTCCAGAGTTATGGGACTTTTAACAGTTATATTTGACACCATATTTTTATGCTTAAGGGTATCATCATTCATGTTTTTCTACAGAGCCATTTTATTTGCTTCTGATTAGATGCCTTCTTAATATCCATTTTAGTTTACAATTAGGGCATGTCATGTTCTCTTCAGGGTTCTCACAAAGGCGAGTCCATGAGTCCTGGACTCATCAAAATCTGTCTGGACTCATCAATTTCAAAACTTGTGAGTCCAAAGATGCATCAAAATTGTAAAATTAAGAGTCTTAATTCAGCTGTTTATTATAAGTACTGTAAATTCAGAATTTATTGCGAGGTTTATATTTATGCGAATAATGCGACTACTTGAGAATCACAATCATAAGAACTAGCATTCTGATATCAAATAAATATATCTGTATGTAGCTTTTCTACAAATCACAATGATAAATACAGGCAATCATTTCTGAATTTACAGTAAACAGTCATAACAATTTGTGTGGTTTCTTCAACAATTACTATGTGTCTTCAACAATTACTATGTTATTTCTTCAACAATTACTATGTTGTTTCTTCAAGGATTACAATGTTGTTTAATTTCTTCAACATTTACTATGTTGTTTCTTCAACAATTACTTTGTTTTTTCTTCAAATGTACTGTGTCCTTTTCTTTTAAACACATCAACTATGTATAATTTCTAGTAATAAGTAAGATTATATGTGGTTTCTTAGCTTGTAGCAGTTTAAACTAGACTGGTTTCTTCAACCATTAATTAAAACCAAGCAAGTTGTCTTCATCCATTAAACTATGACACTTTTCTTCTGCCTTTTAACTTGATGTGGTTTTGTCAACCATTAACAATGGATTTGTTTCTCTCAACCAATTTATAAAGAACTGATGTAATAATGTTTGCAGTATTTCTTCAACCAATGAAAACAATATTATACAAATATGTTGCCATGAAAATACAAATACAGATTTTATGTACAATGTATTGGACAAAACTTGCTAAATTGACATATAGTGAAAAATGAGATTTGTTTATGTATAATTTCAGTGGCAGTATGATCCAACTAAGGACATCATCCCAGTGGTTATACATTGTGTAGTAGAAGATGAAGGTAAGTTATCTAATAATTTAAGTCCTTTCAGTGTATTTCAGTGGTTTTTATTAAAAAGTAGTAGATGTTGGTGTGTCAAATTGTGTCTCCTTACATTGTACTACATTTTGATCTTTGCATGATGAAAATCATATTTTTTTGGTTTTTAGTTACTGATTGATAATGAAAAATAAATTTTGTCTTGACACCTGTTATTGTACAAATTGCAAAAGCCAAAAATAAAACTCCATTATAATAATGAAATGGAAGAATTATCTAATTACTGTAAAGATGGATATTTTTCAGAAGGGATTTATTTTTGCTAATTTTCCAATGAATATAAAATCACTAAAAAATCTCCTTGTATAAATTATATCTTTTCATCAGATGCAAGAGCAAGAAAGACACAAAAAATAACCTCACAAACCAGTTGGGCTTTAGAAATTGAAAATTTAAACTCAAAATTTTTTGTTTTCAAACAATTTGTATCAGATTGCAACCATACTTAGATATATGATCACATATAATGAAGTGGAAGATCCTTTTGATTTTTAGGTCACTACATTCAAGGTCAATGTCAAAGTTACTAAAATTATCTGAAATGTATACACAAAAAATGGTTTCTGGATGCTGAATCAAATATTACACATGGGATTGCTCCATAGTTAAATATATGGTCACATATATTAAAAACAAGATCACTATTGACTTTGAGGTCACTACCTCCAAGGCTGAGGTCAAAGTTACTTAAAATATTTAAAAATTTGTGCAGAAAACTGGTCTCTAGGTAATGGCTTCCAAAACGGTCATATATGCCGGACATTTATAAATTTATCGTACATTGTCCGTCTGGGAAAAGCATGAAATGGATATCTACTTTAAGTTTTCAAGGCTTTCTTAAGGTGTAATACCACCATTGATTTTCCCCTATTAGTCTTTGTTAAATTTGCACTTTTCAAAAAATTGTGCAGAATTTATCTTTGTTTCAAATAAAGAAATACTTGGCATGAGTAAAGATTTATCCTGTCCAGTACTATAGAAAAAATTTCACATAACATTTCATTGCATATAAAAAAATAACCATCACTGGAAGTTAACCAATCAAATTTTCCCCCTTTTTTAACCTGTGTACAAGCTTTAGTAACCATGTAACCTCAAGTTTCCAAAATATTCTATAGAAACCCCAAATAAAGAAATAATGGTGCTTTGAAATACCCAAGATATATGTTTATGACTCAGAAATGTTTTACTGCAATGAAATGTAGGATCAATTACCTACAACTGTCAAATTCAAGGGAATATTTTTTTTCGACCTATTTTCGTATGCAACCGGATGTGACGTACTATGGTTTGGTGGTATTACACCTTAAGAGATGGACATTTTAACATAATTCAAAAAAAAATCGGAAGTTTATGCGATCTTTTTGACCCAACCTTTTGCCTGAAACAGCCACACATTTCCGGTCATAAAAGTGACATGATGAATAAGAACTATCAAAATAAACTCTACTTTAATACCTTCTCATTTTATTCAAGGTTTATAAGTTGTCAGACAGCTGAAATTTACATGTTCAGGTGACAGGTAAACTATTTTGTACCTTACATTAATCGGTCTATTCAAAGTTATTTTCTTACATTTCAGCGGTTTGCATCTAATTAATTTATTCAAAACGATTGAACTTATCAGAAATACATTTATAAATATGATTTGATGAAAAAATTTTAAAAGTTTTTAAACGAAAAATCGTCAGAACCACGTTGTTTGAACTAGTACACGTGTGCGCCTGTGTAGGTTGGAAATTTAATTATGCATCCTAATTCTTCAAAAATGCTAAAATTATCATTGATACCTTTATCTAACGTTCATTTCGAGTATTTTCTTAAATAACGTGGAAAGAGCTACTTAAACTCAATCGTGCTTTGTAAACATACACGGATTTTACATGTCCGTCTCTGGTCGGTGTCAACATCCAGTATTAGGAAAATGTGCTTTTTAAAAACGAAAGTAAAGTTTTTGACAACGTTATTTTGCACAAATAAAGAGCCTAAGGCAGATATTAGTACGCTGATGTTGCACACTTCGAATAATGCACTGTCTGAATTTAACAGTTTACGTCAGAACATCGAATTTATATCAAAGTAAAAGTTTAATATCGTTTTAATGTCAATCATTGGTTACATGATGGCCAACTGATTACCATAATTGCCTTTTGTTACTAAGTCTTAAGGGATTAAAATCAGGATAAGACATAAATGTCTGGCTGGCTCAAATATTTTTTGGAAGCCCTGCTCTAGATGCTTAGATCAAATAATGTATATGAGAAATGAATTTAATTTGATATATGGTCGCATATAATAGAGGAAATCCCTATTGATTTAAAGTCACAATAGTACTTCTAGAAATAACCAAAAAGAATCATATCTTTTAAAAGAAAATATTTAAAAAACTATGTTGTTTCAAGCTTTATGGAGGGCGTTAGGTATATGTGCTTGCTCACTAAAGGTTCTAAAATTGTGTTTCAGTTTTTTTACAATTTCTATTAAATGTCATTTACAGAACATCCAAACCATGCCCATCTTACATTTGGTATGGTAGAGAAAAGTTCAGCAGACAGTGGATACATACTGAAGCCATTGAAACAAAAACAGTTTGTTGATGGGTTATCATATCTGCTGCAAGAAATATATGGGATTGAAAACAAGCAGGTTGATAGGTCAAAGGTGAGGAAAGTCAATTATTTGCCAATTTTTACTCCTATCTCTTTTTTTTAAATTTAGTATGTTGTTAGAAGATCATTGAAACTAAAACTGCAAATTTGATAATGCTTTATTTTGTTCCTCCTGCTAAATGTGTGGGTATATTTATTCATATACAGTTAACTCTCGTTGTCTCGAACTCGGTTGACTCGAAATTTCGGATGAGTCGAAGTTTTCACGTGGTCCGGAAGTTTGTTCCATATAAATGTATGTAATTCAACTCCTGATGAGTCAAAATTGGATGAGTCGAAATTTCGGTTGAGTCGAACTAAATTTACGATCCCAAGGTTAACAAAAGCATTCAAAATTCATTATTTATCTCGAACTAATACACATATGTCAAAACATGACCTCAGGCATTTAAATGGATTGAAGAGTTAATCTGACAATACACGTGTAATTAAATTTCCAGTCACTGACCACTATTGATTTATGACATGCTATTTCCACGAGTGTTTACCTAAGATTATCTTTTATAGATTTTTTTATAAATAATAAGTGATGCATTGTTAATGTTCATGAAAAAGTATTTAAAATGTTTACAAAACAATTAATTGTGATTTACACTAATGAGCTTGGGTGTGTATAAAGTAAGGATTATGACTTCCGTTGATGATCACCTAAAAACTACTCAATCGGCGTCTTTAATCTTGTTGTATTTTCTTTTGAAAAGAAAGAGTGAGATAAAACAAAATGAAGAGAAATCTAAATTTTCTAAAATCTCTTGTATCCGAGAATAAACAATTTTGTCAACTATAAACGACCTGAATAACGAAACTATCGATTGGAAATTACTCTCTCGGATAAAAGCCAGAGGAAAAAATTCTAACTGAAACAATTGAATAAGTAAAAATAATGTTATTATAATAATGAAAGAACATGACATACAAATACATCGATCTGATACCAGAATATCGATCCCCTTCCCTTATTCACCCGGATTTATTTTAGCTTTACCAAGCTAAGCAAGAGTTGTGTCCCTTGCTCTGTCAAACTTCCGGTTTCGTTTGAGTCGAACTACGTGTATCTCGAAATATTTCTCTGGTCCGGCTGACTTCGAGATAACGAGAGTCAACTGTATTATCTCTCTATCTTCTTAAATACATCAAGCATCAACATTTTTTGTTCAGTCAGTAGTAGTTTTATTATGATGAATTACATATCCTATTTCTATTTTACTCTTATTGACCCTCTTGATAAAATAAAAGCCTTTAGACTTACAAGAAAAAAAACTTAAACTCAAAAATACAGTTCAAGATTTCATCCTTAAAGATTCGTAGATTCATTTGAAATAAGAAACCTAAAGAAGGAAGTATTTTTTTTTCCATTTCAGCTTGATCCAGATGATGAAGTTGATGATAGTGGGGCAGAATGTGTTATATGTATGTCTGACATGAGAGACACATTAATTCTACCATGTCGTCACTTGTGTCTATGTAGTGCTTGTGCAGAGTCACTGAGATACCAAGCCAGTAATTGTCCTATCTGTAGATCTCCATTCAGAGCTTTATTACAGATCAGAGCAATGAGAAGGAAACAGGCTATTCCTGTCCAGGTATAGTCATTAACAATGCAGTATCCATTAAATTGGATAACTATCTTAGTACCAGTTTTATCTATTGTTTGTGGGGCCTCGGTGGCCGAGTGGTCTAAGTAGTTACTACTGTAATCACTAGCCAGTCAACACTGAGGTTGTGAGTTCGAACCCTGCTCTTGCGGGTGCACTCAACTCTAATCTTAATTGACTAGGATTGTCAGTTTTCCTATCGAAGGTCGTTGTTTTCTCCAGGCGCTCCGGATTCCTCCACCAATAAAAACTGGCTGCCACAAAATAGCCCAAAAGCGGTGCTTGAAAGTGGTGTTAAAACACCAAAAATCAAATCATCTATTGTTTGATACCCTTGATTTGTCTTGGTTTTTTTGAGAAAAAAAACCTTACTAAATTTTAATTTCTGCTGAGATGAAAAAACAACCAAATAATATTATATATTAAATTTTTTGCTATACAGTAGACTCCACCTAATCGGATATCGGCTAAACGAATATATCAGCTATTGTAATATTGTTTAAAACACCAAACCCTTCCTTATACGTTTAATGTTAATTTTATTGTATAATCGAATATCGGATAAAAGAATATATTGGCAAATAGGATAAGAATATTCAGGAAATTCTGTTCGAAACCACACACAATCAGATATTTTCAATGTTTTTCTGACAGGAAATGGACCCGGAAGTTACGCAATTACAATCTTGCAGACAAGAAAATTTTGTTTTTAATTACTAAAAGGAACTATTTCTTAATAAAGTGTTGTCTTTATTCATTGTGTTCCTTTGTAATGCGAATTAGATGCCCTTAAAATACAAATGGTTTGAATTTATTTATAAAATATACGGTAAAAGAAAAATACGTTGGGAGAATTTTGATAAAACTCTAAGTGCTTACAGAATCAGAAATATAATTTAGACTGAATGTACCTCCTTCTGAATAATTTATTGCAATATAAATATAAATCCCTTTTGCCAAGAGAAATCTGACTTTTGTCAGATATAATTTTGTAACATGTGTAGGTTTGACCACATGTCATAGACGCCATTTTCTTTTGTTTACAAAATGTGAGGAAGCCTCTAGAACCATGACCAAAACATTAACAGTCTTCAGAAAATTTTAACTTGATGCAATAATATTTTATTAATTATGATTATCTTCATTGATATTCAAATAAATTTGATTATTCAAAGAAATAAAATATATAACAAATTCGATTTCAGTTTAAAGACAGACATGCTATAATCTATTTATAGCCCGATTGGCTTACCTGTGATTTTACCACATACAAATGTAAATATGGATATTACTTCGTATATAAAACAAATAAAAACATATACTATGGATGGTAGATATTTATTCACATAAATATTTCAGGAAATTTTATTTATTTTAATAATTATAGGATTTAAAAACTGAAAAACAAAAATATGAGCATTACATAACCAGCTGATAAAATTTTTACACAAACATCATAGTGATGAATCTGATGAAAATAACTCGAACCCTTTTATATATATAGCAGTGGTCAGGGCTAGTTACATCTCAGGATTAGGTCAACTCATTATTGCAGAATATTCAATGAATATACATTTATTGTCTAATTGAATATATCGGATAATGGGATATTTTTTGCTGACATTTTTGGTATCCGATTTGCCAGAGTCTACTGTATTAGATTTAATTTTTAAATTTCAAACAAAATAAATCAGTAAAACTTTGTTTAGACTTAAAAAAAACAACATTAAAGTGAATAACTTTTTGACAGGGAGAAAATAATGAAGAGAACCCAGTCAGCCAGGATGGTGTACCTACTGGATATTTTGCAGTGTCATTGATAGAAGCATTGAATGGTCCCTGTAATCAAAATCTGATGGGAGATGGTACGTTCAAGTATCCCACATTTTTTTTTTTTTTTTTACATCTATTTTGGAGATATAAAGTAGTAGTTATCATTTAAAAATTACCTAAGATAAATTTAATTCAATGCTTGTATTAGGTTTTGAACTTTCAAATGTTTATGCTTCAAGCATCACTGAAGAGACATTTATTGTCGAAATGCACATCTAGTGCATACCTGCTGATTTTCAGAATTTAGGCGTGAACTACATGATCGGTTCTTCAGAATCCTTTATAAATTTTTCATCAGATCCTCGTCTATTTGGATGAAGATTTCCACTCATCAAAACATGGGATTTCAATAATCAGCAATTGAAACTTCGGGGGCATACCTTGTTTTGGAGAATGATTAGTAAACATATATCACTATTAATTTTGATAGCTTGTAAGATAATATGGATCTCCAAATTCACAACAGAATGATATGGAATCATCATGAAAGTGAACAGAAAAATTATTGTTCTTTTATTGAATAAAAAAATACATTTAATTTTGTTATTTGGTTGCATTAAATTCAAGGAAGTATTTCCAGCCATTTGAAATTAAAGTGATATTGAATCAATGATACTCTCAGCATATACATGTTGATAAATAATAGCAGCACGAACTTTAATGTATTTCCAGATTATTATCCATCTGTTAGAATGATTCCATCAAATGAAAAAGATTCACATCACAGAGATAAGAAAAGGAAAAGGTAAGTATCACAATTGTAGATCTCCATACAATGGATATTGCTATTAAGACCGGAATAAAGTTTACTGTACTAGATATATGTGATGCATATAATTATAATGGAGCTGCAGATTTCTTATACTAAAGTTCCTAAGACGTTTGAGACCAGGTAACAGCAGCAGAATTAACTCAAAAGGTCAAGGAGGTTAAGATTTGCCTTAAGAATCCGGATTTCACACACTAAAAACATAATCTTAGCCAAGTTTGTGTTGCCCTTAATTTTCAAAAAAAGTTGCCCTCTGTTGCCATTTGATTTTGAGAATGTGTCTATCAACATATAAAAAAAAAGATGAGACGTATATAAAAAATCAAAGTACCAAAGTTTACATTAAATGATTACAAGTACAATAGAATAAATCTGTTAATATCTAATGATTAACACATTTATTGCAGTTAAACATCCTGTCCCTCCTCCTCTGCCAGGGAATCACTAACCTTTTGACCATACTTTGAATATTTATAATACCTACTTAGCATGGAATTTGTCTGTTATATATTACTAAGCTTCTGTATTTCAGGACAATAACTTTAACTTGTGTATAAGTATTTTGATTGCTCTGAAATTGTACCACAAGGTTCAATACCACAAGTAGAAGGTTGGGATTCATTTTGGGGGTAATTGCCCAAACCGTTCAGGAATTAGGGGCCAAAAAGGGGCCAAAACAAGCAATTTTCTAGATTTCAGACAATAACTTGTTTAAGTGTATGGCTGTCTCTTAAATTGTACCACATTTTACAAAAAGAAAATTTCTTCAAATATTTTTTTTTTTGGAAGGGGTGGGGGGTAAAAAACATTTTTTTTTTGGAGGGGGAGGGGGGGCAATTTTTTGTCTCGCCTTGACGGAGTCAAAAAGCAAGACATAGATATGCTGTTTCCGGCGTCGGCGGTGACGGCGTAAACAATGTATTAGTTTGTGATTAGGTCTAGTTCATGGTGAACCACTAGTGGTAGGTCAATGATATTTGGTATGCAGTTGTATTAGCATTGGCACATCTCATTACCTTGGAGATTATTTGGCCCCGCCCCCTCAGTCAAGGTCTATTGACTTTGAAACTTTTCATAGTTTACATGTATTAGTTTGTGATTAGGTCAATTTATGGGGAACCACTAGTGGTAGGTCAATAATATTTGGTATGCAGTTGTAAAAGCATTATTATATCTCATTTCCATGGAGATTATTTGGCTAAGCCCCCTTAGTCATGGTCTATAGACTTTAAAAATTTTGCTAAGTTAACATGTATTAGTTTGTGATCAGGTCAGTTCAAGGGGAACCATTAGTGGTAGGCCAATGTTAATTGGTGTTCAGTTGTATAAGCATTAGCACATCTCATTTCCATGGTGAATATTTGGCCCCGCCCCCTCAGTCATGGTCTATTTACTTTGAAACTTTTGCTTAGTTTACATGTATTAGTTTGTGATTAGATCAGTTTAAGATGAACTGCTAATGTTAAGTCAATGATATTTGGTATGCAAATTTATTGGCATTTGCAAGTATCGTTTCCATGGAGATTATATAGCCCCACCCCTGATCATGGTTCATTGACTTTTAAACTTTTACATAGTTTACAAGTTAATGTTTGTGTTTAGGTTTGTTTAAAGGGAACGACTTATAATAAGACAATGGTATTTGGTATGCAGTTGTATTAGCATTGGCACATCTCATTCCATGGAGATTGTTTAGCCATGTACCTTCAGTCATGGTTCATCGACTTTGAATATTTGCATAACTTACATGTTAAAGTATTGCTATTTTAATTTCAATTATCAAAATTACAAAAAGGCGAGACATATCTCTGTGATAACAGTTTATTTCCTCAAGATTTAAGAAATTATCAGTTTTCCCCCCAAAAAATTTGGGGTCACAATTTATTTTGCTCATTCTTCGTATATAGTCTGAAAACAGATTTACTTAGTATTGCACAACAGCACAGTGTATTGCACAACAGCAAGAAATCTTCAATTGAATATAAATTCAAATCATATAACCAATTTCAAGTTTGACTACATTTATTCTGTGTCAGAAATCTATAATGTGTCTACCGGTAACATTTAATTACAATCCATATTCAGACCTGTATCAAGCTTGAATTGTGTCCATTTTTGCCCCAACTGTTCAGGGTTGAACCTCTGCAGTCGTTTCCAGCTGCGATCGGCGAAGCAGTTTATTCTGTATTTTACTGATAAATTGACTTAGATTTTGGCAGTCAACAGAAAACTTTTACAGCAGCAATAGTAGGCAGAAGACAAGGTTCCAAGCAAACCTTTCCAATTTTGTTTTCTATATTTATATTAGATATATATATATATATATGTGTGTGTACTTTTGTACTATTACAGACAAACATTACAAATAGATTCTGTGAAGGATTCTGTGGTGACAGCCAATATGAAACTCGACGATAAAAAGTTACTTGGAAATGAAGAACTGAAAGGAGGAAAGGAGACAGTAGAAGTGGTTAAAACTAAGGATAAACTTAAACCACATGTACCAAAGATGTAAGTATATAATCCATATAACATGAACACTTTCTTTTGCATTAAAAACTATAGTTTTCATATGAGTGAGAATTGGATATTGCTTGGTATCAACTCGAGTCATTTAATTTCAATAAAATAAAAGACTCTTTTATTTATATTATTGTTATTAAATAAAATGTTTTGATATCAAGGAATTCCCAATTTTCTAGAGTTGTTAAACCCATTTCTCTTATGGTGAAATTTATCTTTGTGTAAAAAAGAAAATTCCACAGGTCATTATTCTTTCCTTTTTGCATCTAAACAGTTTGATCTAAACACCTTCACATATTGAGCTGATTTTTAGTATGTGAGTCAACTATGATGATTTACAGATAAAGTCAACGTTAGCTTCTGTCCCACTGAATTTTGCTGAAATTACAGGCTTTGGACTCTGAAAATATTGTGAAAATAACAGTTATACAGACTTTTAGTATGTGAGTCTACTATGATGAGTTAAAGAATGAGTTTACGTTTGGTTATGCTCTGCTTATATGTGCCAAAATTAAGGGCTTTGGACTTCGATAATTTCGTGAAAATTACAGTTATACGCACTATCATTCTCAAATTTCCACTCCTAAAAGTGGCTTCGATCTTTTTTTGAGAGCGGGGCCATTTGTGTCGTTCAGACACATCTAGTTTTTTATACGACTGCAAATTTTGCGGTCGTATATTGGTATGATGTTGGCGTCGTCGTTGTCGTCGTCCGAAGACACATTGGTTTTCGCACTCTAACTTTAGTTTAAGTGAATGGATCTCTATGAAATTTTACCAAAAGGTTCAATACCACAAAAGGAAGATTGGGATTGATTTTGGGGGTTATGGTACCAACAGTTAAGGAATTAGGGGCCAAATATAAGCATTTTTGTAACTTCCAGACATAACTTGTGTGTTAGTGTATGGATCTCTCTGACATTGTACCACAAGGTTCCATATCACAAAGGGAATGCTGGGATTGATTTTGGGGGTAATTGCCTCAAAATTTTAGGAATTAGGGGCAAAAAAAGGGGCAAAAAACAAGCATTTTTTCTAGTTTCATGACAATAACTTGTGTGTTAGTGTATGGATCTCTCTGAAATTGTACTGCAAAGTACCATACCACAAATGGAAGGCTGGGACTTTTTTTGGGGGTAATTGCCTCAAAATTTTAGGAATTAGGGGCCAAAAAGGGGCGAAAAAACAAGCATTTTTCTAGTTTCCAGACAATAACTTGTGTGTAAGTGTATGGATCTTTATGAAATTGTACTACAAGGTTCCATATCACAAAGGGAAAGCTGGAATTGAGTTTGGGGGTAATTGCCCAAAACGTTTAGGAATAAGGGGACAAAAATAAGCATTTTTCTAGTTTCCAGAGAATAACTTGTGTTCAAGTGTATGGATCTCTCTGAAATTGTACTGCAAGGTACCATACCACAAAGGGAAGGCTGTGATTGATTTTGGGGGTAATTGCCCTAAACGTTTAGGATTCTGGGGCCAAATACAAACATTTTCTAGTTTCTAGACAATAACTTGTGTTCAAGTGTATGGATCTCTCTGAAATTGTACTGCAAGGTACCATACCACAAAGGGAAGGCTGTGATTGAGTTTGGGGGTGATAAATCATAAGGGGGTTCAAAAAATTGGAGGGGGGGATTTTTTTCCCCCTTTTTTTTGTCTTTAAAATTTTCCATTTTAAATTGGTTATTTCTGATTTATTTATATAAGAAAATAATAATGATATGGTTTGAATAGGTAAATTAAAAAATTTTAAGTTCTTAGACCACGTTCATTCTGTGTCAGAAACCTATGCTGTGTCAAATATTTAATCACAATCCAAATTCAGTGCTGTATCAAGCTTGAATGTTGTGTCCATACTTGCCCCAACTGTTCAGGGTTCGACCTCTGCGGTCGTATCAAGCTGCGCCATGCAGAGCATTTTATTGATTTATTTTAAAGTGTGTTTATCAGCCTTTTCTTGTTTTCACCATTTACAGGTAGTTCTACATTATCAAAATTGGTGGTATTAATTTTCGAACCTGGTAGTCTCTAAAAAATTCTAGTAATAATTATTTAATCCATATCTTTAATTTTGACTGTTTTTTTTTTTAATTTTTGATTAATTATTTTAGTAGAAAAAAGAAGCTAAAAAAATCATTCACCTAGTATATGTACTGGTTAATATGCATATTTTGGATATTTGTTAATGGTTAAAATTTAATCTTTCCTTTTATTTTACATGTATCACAAAATCACACTTGTTGAAAATTTGTGCTTACTTTGGTAGATTCTCAGAAGACCCAGACAGTACAGATGAATCCAAGGTTGTAAATGTCTCCAATGATTACAGTTCTGATACACTTGAGAGCAAGGTATGAAAAATAGAAGAGTCAATATAGTTTGTTATTTAAATGGGGTAAAAATTAGCCCTTATATGAATAAATCGGTCCTTGTATGGATAAATAAGCATGTGTACTGATGACATTGCCAGGCTGATATTAATATGGCTCTTTTTGGTGGGTCTGTAATGGTCCAAGGGTTGTTACCCAATACAAAATTCCAGTTTCAAAATGTTTTTCTCTATTGATGCATAAAATCATTTTATGGTATTTTGTAACTGTAAATGACACCAGAGAGTTTATACCATGTCCTATGTAGTGTTAAGATTTAAATAAGGAAAAATGCACAGCCTTTCTGTGCAAGTTCAAGATGGGCCTTAGCACTGTTTTGGGTCAATTTCTCTGCTACATGTTGTTAAAACCACATTAAAGAACGCTTCTTCATGGTTATATGTACAAATTTTTAACTATATTTGGCAAAGAAATCTTACAAATTATATTTGATATTGTTATAAATTGCAACTCAATGTACAGAAACAATACAAAACTTAAGACACACTGGCAGCAAATCATGAGATAGGTTGATGATAATTTGACAGGAAATAATGTATAAATAGGACAAAGAAAGGTACTGTAAATTCAGAAATTTATGCTTGCATTTATTGATTGTTGAACATTGAACAAGAATACACAATTGCTTCTTACATTTTGAGGTAATAATGCACACTGATCATGCTGATAATGCTGTCAAAATTTAAAATATTAATTTTGCTCCAGGAATTACAAAATATTTAGGAAAAGTTGAAAGCATGACATGCGAACATCTTCAATATCTTCATGACAATGTTGTACAAACTGTTGCCTAATACTCGTTGTTAGGAGCTACTCACTGCTTCACTCTATCTGAAATTTTTATAATAATTTAAACCACAATGTAGTTACTTAATAGAATAGATAGAAGCAGTTTTGTTGTCCCACTTGCATGACTTGCAACAAATAAAAAATGCTAGACATTTGGATGCTGATCATGGTTAATGATCAATGTTAAGTTTTTTTTTTGTCTGGTATGTTTCTCAGATTCTATAAGCTATAGGTCAACTATAGTTGGTGTGTGGAATGATTGTAAGATGTACATGTTAGTCTAGCAGGTTTCATATGACCTTGACCTCATTTTCACGGTTCATTGGTAAAAGCAGTTTTCATAGTTTGGTCTGTTGTTCAAATACTATAGGCATTAGGTAAACTATATTTGGTACTATATTTGGTGTCTGGAATTATTGTAAAGTGTACACCTCCATCTTTCATGATTCCTATGACCTTGACCTCATTTATATGGATCATTGATAATGATTAGTTTAAATGATGCTTGTATTAAACCTTTATCTTGAAGACATTCAATAAAAATTCATTGATGATCAGTCAAGCAGGGAAATCATTGTGGTGTGTGCAGTGTTTTAATAAGTATGATTCAACAAAAAATTGTCATAAAATAGATTAATGCATAAACAAGAAATTGAAAATGAAATCATTGGATTACAAGCAGAGTAACAGCCAAACAAATTTTAAATATTCCACCCCTCCTCAGGAAAAAAAGAATGCACTATACTTATTGAAAATTTATGTCTGTCAAAGCTTTTTATGCCTTATCTAGTAATGTACATTATTTCAGGGCACACCAGATGTTACAAAATTAAGAGTATATGATCTGAACGAGTCTGAGGCAGATAGTGATTACGACATGAAAACACACCCTATAACAGGAACCAGATGTTCCACAGAAGATTTAGCAGATGATGAGAGAGAAGATACATCTGAAGCTGAGCAAGAACCAGAACCTGATTACGATGATGAACCAATAGGTAGTCAAATATACTGAAAAATATAATAAATAGAAAGATACTGTGAACACATAAATGATCAGCAAAAAAAATTCTACAAAAATTATAATACGAATGATACAGTTTCAGGAGAGATAAATTAAATCACTTACACATTAATGAACTTTCAACGTTTTGCTTTTACCTGTTTTGTGTGATGATGATGTCATAATAACGGAATGTTAGCACAGGACTTCATATTTGAAATTTTATGATTGCACAATTTACCAATCAAAAATAATTTTGAACCTCATTTTCTTTGAAACAAGCATGGTAACCTATGTTTTATTTTCTGATTTTTCAAAGTACTTTTCTAGATCTACAACATATTTCAAAATCACAAAGTGACATGCTATGTGAAAACTCTGTTGACTCCCCTTGATTAGGATTTTTGATCAATTTTAACATTTTTTATATTTACTTGAAAAGTGTAAACTAATTAAATAAAAGTGATTTATTTTTACATATTCAGCACTAGAAAAAGAAGTTGAAAAACTCTGTTCTTCCCTTATGAAAATACATCAAGAAAGGTAGAAAATGGCAGAAATAAATTGCACCAAAGTCAGCTAGAAAGGATAAATAGTGAAATAAATTATCCACATGAATAAATTGGTTTAAAGTAATACTATAATTATAGATTATCGTTGGTCATCTCAACGAGATTGATTTTCTCGCTTGAGCCGGTACGGCGAAAGTGAGAAAAGCAATCGAGATGAGATGACCAATGATAATCTGTTTATCGCTATTTTAACTATGACGATGTTGTTAATTTCATTGACAACAGCACATGCGCCCTTAGTTTCTAGCGATAATTTTTCATATCACTCTACTGTGCTGACAATGGAAATTATCAGTCAGTAAGATCAAATGAAAATTTCGTAAAATAGCGATAATCTGGCAATACATGATCATTTGAAAGTGATATTATGAAACCATCAGTTGATTACAAATATTTATGGCCCTTAAATGAAGAATTTTGACAAATTTATATGTTATGTCTTTAAAATAACCAAAAATAAATATAAATTATAAGTTACTAGTATGCAGGGATCTAGCTGAGGTTTCATATGGCGAAAAAATACCCTTACTGCAATATTTATGGCGCCATTTTTTTCCCCACATCAAAATTATCATGCTTGACTAAGGGTAATTAAATCAATATAGAGTTGAATACAGTTAAATGATGTTGTCTACAATCAAGTACATGCTTATAATCACAGGTACTGGTTCATATATGTTCATGTATGTATGGTACCTTTGATAATTAAACTCCCACTCCAAAGGAGGAGGGGAGGGTTTATACTGTTTTGCCCCTGTCTACCAGTCCCTCTCAGCTGTCTGACCAAAACATGCACCAGATCAGTCAGTCAATTGTCTTTTGTCTGAAAAGAGGGGAATACATTGAACTTGAGGCAAATATTTTGAAACCGGTGACAGTATTTTGATCCCAGAGATTTTTCTTTGCAACAACTTTAAAAAGGACAGCAGAGTTCCTTTGTAGACAGTAACATCAAGTAAAATTTGATAAAAGATTTGGAGGAAGGGTGGGTTTGAAGATTTAATAGTTTGCCTCCACCAAATGTTATGAAACTTGTATTAAATGCTTATTACCACAAAACACAGGTCAAGTTAAAATTTGGGTGGCATCACTTTTACAGTTCTAAGATTTATGAATTTTTCGTTACCATTCTCTAACACCAAATGTTATGAAACTTATACACAATGCTTCTAACCACAAAACTCAGATCAAGTTCGGATTTTGGTGACGTCACTTTTACAGTTCTCTAGTTATGTCCCTTTATAACATTATATGCCAAAAGCGAGTGCATCATCTATATCCCATGGACACATTCTCCATTTATTTTCTTTTGGTTGCTTTAGGTAAAAAAGTATTTGGATCTTGGCACTGTAGATCAATTTATTTATTGGCCTCTATTTTTTTAATGCACACAAAAAGCTTTTTTAGATGAAGTGTTTTTTCATAAAATAATTTTGGTTTAAGAAAGGAGACGCAGATAACTGATAATTAGAAGACACCTGACAAAATGCCATAGTAAAAAGGAAATACAACAGAAAGTCTTTTTAAAAAACAGTTAACAAAATACACCATTGAAAACTACAGCCTGAGCAACTCGACGTGTAATGTCAGGGTGAACTGGGAGACTAAGCATATCCTGTCCCACATGTGGCACCTGTAATGCAGCACATGTATGTACAAATTTGGTAATGAGTTCCTTTCAGTGATATCAGATTTGGATAGGAATAACAAAATTAGAACACTGTGACGTCATCTGTGAAACAAATATTCAAAAACTGTCAACCAACTTTCAAAAGGATGACTTCAACTTTACTATTCCATGAAGTTGAAGTCCTTCTTTTTCATATATCATCATGATTCTTCTCTGCTGAAACCACTAGGCCAGTTGGAATCAATCTTTGCACAATCTTCATAGGGGTATCTAGTTTAAAAAAATATCTAGTTTAAACAAATATGTCCGATGATCCTGCAAGCCAAATAACATGGCCGACATGGATAAAAAAAGAACTTTGGAAAGATGCATTAACATAAAAACTGTCAGACAACTTCTTTCAGGAGTTATTGCCCTTCAATGATGAATTTTACCATATTTTGAAAGAAATAATAGATAGAGAGAAACTTCGAGAACAAAAATGATCATCAAGACAAGATCTACTAAAAAGACAATTACTGCTGAAATCGTCAGTCAGCTGCTTATGGGAGGTATTGTCCTTTAATGATGATTTTACTTATTTTGCCATTTTTGGTTGATACAGAAAAACTGTAAACAGCAAAAATGATGAGCAAGACAAGACATACAAATAGGTCAAACTAGTGGAAAATGTGAGATGACTACTTATAGAAGTTATTGCCCTTATATTACGATTGTTATCCATTTTTTTTCATTTTGGACAAAAATTAAGAAGATAAAGAGAAACAGTAAGATTAATCAGCAAGATACGATCAACAAGTGGTTATAGTCATAAATTATATTTTAGTTTACAGTTTTGGAGAGTTGTCATTGTTCAAGATGCACATTGAAAGAGGTGAGCTACACAGACTCTTCAGAACCTTGAGTTTTGCCATGGTGTTGCCTGTTTTTATTCCACTTATGGGTTTTGAATTCCTCCTCAGTATCCAGTGTTCTCCCCAGGGCCTTAAAGGACAGCGGGCCCGCGATGTATAATTTTTTATCGTGGTGGTATCATTCTTACCGCGATGTATTATATTTCTCTGTGGTGCTAAAATTTTTAGTTTAAAAAATCGAAAATCGGTAAAGTTTTAAACGACTTGTTAAATCTTTTCCGAGCGGTATAAAATTCCAGGTGAAATTTGACCAGTTCAAACCAGTTCAGATTGTTTACACCACGTGATCGATTTACCTTTATGAGGTTAACCTTTGTTGATTGGATTTAATCAATGTAATTAACACTTGTAAAATGATTCTTTTGTGTTTTAATTAAGAGATCATAACTTTATGATCGTAGATAACTATTTTATGGCTTCACTCACCACCTGACAAGTCGGCAAATACTTTGTACACACGACGGTACACATTTTGTACATTATAAAGTTGGCTCATTACGTATAATTGACCATTATACACTTCTCAATACTTATGTAATAGTATTATATGTCTCTAATTAAACCATGGCCAAATTATCTTTAATTTTGACATAGTTTATATTGCATGATATTCTGGTTTCAAACTATCATAGTATCTGTCAACAAGTAATTCAAAGGGGACGGATCACATGACCCAGTTAGTTCACATAGAATACCCAAGATTATTTACAATTAACTGCAATCTATTCTATTTTATAAATAAAATGCATGACTGTACCTTCAAACTGGATATCTATATCCATATGATAATTAATGAATAACAGAAGTGATTTGCAAATTGTATCCATAAGCACATGTTAAATCTATTTATATCTACTTCCTGTCATTTAGGCGGGAAAATAGGGAGACTTAGTTGTTGACATTGAATAGGGTTACTTATAGATCTATAGAACTAGGATAAATTTATAGATTTAGGAATTCTTTTTAAATGGATCATGACAAAAAAAGATTTAGATTTCAGTGCAGTATTAAGTCTGTATCTATGTTTGATTATTACTAAGACAAGAAAAGTTAATATTTACATGAAATCTAAGGCAAAATGATTTGAAATTTATGAAAAATTTCTTTTTATTAAAATTTAAGATAGAAACTGGTTCAAATAATAATACAATATTTATTCTTGTTAATTTTATATCTCCTTATGACAGGAATCCTTTCACAATACAACATCTTTCATTCTAGAAATAAGAAAGTTTTTTAAATGAACATTTTTGTTCTCTTTTGAATGATATTTTATTGTTATTGATCATTGATTTTATAAAAGATTTAATAACTTTAAATTTAGATGAATATTTTGTAATGTATCATGTTTTATTTATTTAAAAAAAATATAAAGTATACATGTCAAACTGTTTATTGATTTACTTCTTTTTTACCAATAATTTTCAATGTCTACATAACACAGTACCACAGCATTAAAACAAAACAGGAGACATAAAAACTACAGTTACTAGAAATATAGCTAAGTGACGCGACGCGACACAACTGATTGTATGAATCGTTTCACCAAGCAGTCCACACGCGTTACCCTGGTGCTATCCAAAAAATCCTGGGGAGAACACTGGTATCTTCCATTTAAAATATTGACTTTTGAATCGAGTGGAGAAATAATAATTACTGCTGTAAAGAATTCAGAAAAGATATAATTGTTAAAAGTATAAAACTTCATTTTTTGTAAATTTATTTAAAACAGGTAAAAAAACAGAAACAGATGCAGACAGTGATGGCTATATTCCAACAGACTGTTACCCTGTTGGTTCTTCACCAGAAGAGAAACCAGTCAACAGAATAACTTATGTTAAAGGTCTCAGCAAAAGCGAGGGAGCAGTCAATAAAGACACTCATGGTTATGAGCCAATGAAAGTTAGCAGTGAACTATCCTTACCTGGTACGGGGTCCAGCACAGAGGGATCAAGTTTCAGTAGTAACCACAGCTCTGGTGCCCTGTTACCAGCAGGAACAGTATCTGATGATGACAAATCTTAAGATAGAATTAGGAAATATTAAGTAATTTCTGTGATCTGTGGCCAAGTTGAATCTAAGCTTGGACAACAAAAAAATAAAATGTTATTATTAAAATGATTAAATGGTATATGTTATATGTACATTCATGTATGAACTTTAATTAGTTAATTTCAACTCCTTGAAAGTGGCTGAACATTATCAAACAAAAATTGCACAGATTCTTCTTCTGTATGAAATTGGGTACTTGCTAATTTGATTTGTTACTTGCGTGATGGCTGGTACCATTACCAAAACATAGAATTTGCCAATTTCTAATATTATTTTTTGACAACAGATGATATCAAATCTTCCTTGGAAGACTGGAACATTGTGTTATGAAGCAATTAAGTCTTTTATAGCTTTCTTAGTAATATCAAAATATAATTAGTGGATTAAGATCAACACTGGCATCAATCATACTTAGTGTGTGGAAGATGCCCCCCCCCTGTTACTAATAATTTTAATGTTGCACATTTTTTACCTATGAATGATATGATCTGCTTAGAGCCTTTACTTTGCTGACATTGCAGTATCTAAAAACAGAAAACTTAATTATACATGTCTTATATTAATTATATTAATTATATCAGCTCCTTATTTTATACTGTAAATATCTTTAAAAAATTAACATTTGTATTGATGAAAATTGGTATGTAGATTTGGTGCTTTAATCATTGACTGTAAATGATTAGGTTGGACATGCCTGTAAGATATTGACTTCAGGGATTGAATTATGTGATTGATGTGCTGCTATTTGATACTGAGTTGTAAAAGGACCCATTTCTTAACTTTATGGTGGATTTGTCAATAAATCAATAAGTCACTTATCCACAAAAGACCAAAGGACAAGGATGTGCAAACAAATACAGGTCACTTTAAGACCTTCAATAATGAACAAAACCCAAACTGTATAGTATTCTGTAAAAGGTCCCAGGATGATAACATATGAAACAGTTCAAAAGTGAAAACCAACAATCTGATTCATTACAATAAAATGAAAAACAAATATTATGGATAACCTGACTTAAGATTGCAAATAAAGAATTTGGCTGGGTTAAATATGTATGTGAATACTCAACTCTACCTAACCTGGGACAGTTGTAAAACAGTGTAACAATACAACACACCTTTTTGAAAAAGTGCTAGACTCATAAAAAAACTATGATAAATGCACAGAAACTGTAAAAAAATCTGGAAGATCAGATCTACAAATGAGTCAAACACAACAAAAATGGTTAATTGGCTTCTTATGTGATTGTTTGATCCATTTTGCCCTTTAGGCTGTCATCGTGAAAACTAGAGTAGTTCGAGAGAATACAGTACACATAAAACATAGTAAGGGTCAATGTACTTAATTGACTTAAACAATTTGTTTTTAAATGTTCTCCAATTGGATCTGCATTATATCTGGTCACAATCTAACTTGAAGAAAGATGGCTGCCATTGTTTGCTAATAGTTTTAATGTTGTACATGTATGTTGTTGCCAGGTATGGCATTCAGGCTCATTGGACCCAATAGTTTTTTCTTTCAGTTTAAAAATATCATTTATAACATGTAATTATTTTTTTAAATTTTATTGCAACGATTATTAAGTCATGGTGCTGTTGTTTATTTGTATATATGATATTTATCTGTACTTTAATTCATCTTGATTAATAACCCACCCCCCAAAAAAAATTGTATATTGATATGTATAGTTTTTGCATTATTGATTTATGCATGTAGAATGTGATTCTTTATTACTACTGATTATTTTAATAATGATTGAAAAGATATATACACATGTAATTGTGTTCTAAAAAATATAATATACCACTTTTTAAATTTTTAAAGATTTTGTCTTGCCTGTGAGGAATATGGCAGAATACAAGCATATGGATTCAAATCCAGCTGTGGTAATGCCAAGGGCGTGAACCATTTACCGGTATACAAAGCTTTATATTAAGGAGGTAAAAGAACTGAGTAACTCATAACTAGTATACATATGCCCTCATTTTCTGTTTTGCATTTGTCCATTGTCATTGACCTCATTTTCATGGTTCAGCAACATGACAAGTTGTGAAACAACAGCCTGATTTATGTCAAAATAATAAACTAACAATGGATATAACAGACAGCAACCAATGACCACAACTGAATTACAGGCTCCTTACTTGAGAAGGCATGTACAGAATATGGCAAGGTTAAATACCTATGCTCTCAACCCTCCTGTAACCCAGGACAATATTAAGTTTATATATTGCAGGAATTTTTCAGTGATTATGAGAAATTTGACAATATTATATTTGGTATATACAATGTAGAATCATTGCATTGTATACATTTTCAAAAGACAGCTATTACCTGACCTTGACACCATTTCATGGTTGTTATCACTTTGAGTTTTTGTCGAGCCTTTAACTTTAGTCGAAAAAGCGAGACATAGCGATCCTACATTCCGTCGGCGTCGTCGTCGTCGTTGTTGTCGGCGGCGTCCACAAATATTCACTCTGTGGTTAAAGTTTTTGAAATTTTAATAACTTTCTTAAACTATCCTAGATTTCTACCAAACTTGGACAGAAGCTTGTTTATGATCATAAGATAGTATCCAGAAGTAAATTTTTTAAAAATAAAATTCCTGTTTTTCCGTATTTTACTTGTAAATGGACTAAGTTTTTCTGCCAGGAAACATTACATTCACTCTGTGGTTAAAGTTTTTAAAATTTTAATAACTTTCTTAAATTATCCTGGATTTGTACCAAACTTGGACAGAAGCTTGTTTATGATCATAAGATAGTATCCAGAAGTAAAGTTGTTCAAAAAAAAATTTCATTTTTTTCGTATTTTACTTATAAATGGACTTAGTTTTTCTGTTAGGAAACAATATTTTCACTCTGGTTAAAGTTTTTAAAATTTTAATAACTTTCTTAAACTATCCTGGATTTGTACCAAATTTGGACAGAAGCTTGTTTATGATCAAAAGCTAGTATCTAGAAGGAAATTTTGTAAAAATTTGTACCTGTTTATCCGTATTTTACTTATAAATGGACTTAGTTTTTCTTCCAGTTAACATTAAATACAGTCTGCAGTGAAAGTTTTTAAAACATTTATTAGATTCATAAATTATCCTGGATTTATACCAAACTTTGACAGAAGCTTCTTACAATCAAAAGATAGTATCTAAAGGAATATTTTTATTGATTTTTTTTCCTCATTTTTGTTGAGCCTGCGATTAACAGCAAAAGTAGGCGAGACACTGGGTTCCGCGGAACCCTTACGAATTTTTTTTTATAAGGTCCATTTCTGAAACCCCATGGGTGACTACGATTTGGAAATATTGTCATCTTGGTCTTCTTCTTTTTGACTGACAGTAAAACTCTTGCGAAAGTGGGGTGTCCCTTTTGCTTTACAGATGCATTAAATTTGAAGCCTCTTCCTGTCAGAATGGTGACATTAAATCTGATGCCTTGTGTATGCTCAGCATGTTAAGAACACTTGCAACAACTTTTTGAGGGGTCTGTCGGTGACAGCAATCAATCAATCCATTTCTGAGATACTTTAAGCAATAGGTCATATATATTTGGTGTATTGAATGATTTGCTAGGTTTATATGTGCATCTGACCTTGATCTTATTTTCTTGGTTCATTGATCAACATCAGCCAAGTGATTAGGTCAGTTTCTCAGATACAATTAGCAATAAGTAACCTATATTAACATAAACAGTACTAATTTTAATTAGAATGATTATATGGTGTACCTGTATGTCTGGCAGGGTTAATCTGACATTGACCTCATTTTCATGGTTCCCTGAAACTGTTAAGTTTATGGTACCTTGATTCTAAAGGGTCAATAATAAAATCAATTACGATCATTTAAGCAGGCAAGACATTTCAGCGTGTGCACTCTTTGTTTCAGTTAGTTGAGCTGCACACAAAAGTTTTAATTTTAGTTGTAAATGATATGTTGATGAAGTTAATCAGGAAATATTTACTGTTTGAAATAGTCAGTAGTTTATTTTTGTAACCAGAGATTCATATATTTGGAAAAAAATTCTTCATTTAAAAAAAAATGATGTGTTTGTGAAATTTTTATTTTTTTCATTTGCAAAATTAATTGTACTTAAAGGTTATTCTATGAAAAAATCTATGGAAGAGTTGAAACTTCCTTTAAAAATACTTTTACAAATATACCTGGCCCCTATGGTAAGCTTTAGATATTACTTGGTCTGGGAACACAGTTATCTTCCTTTGATTTTCAGTCCCTAGTGTTGACAGTGTGTTACTTGCAAATTGATTTCATGCACCTTCTAAAATTGTTCTTCATATATGCATAAATTAAGGAAACAGTGTTTACTGATTTTCAAATCTTGTAAATAGATTAGGAACAGACAAACCAAGGTAACAAACAATAACTAAATAAGTAAGTAGGGGGATGAAGTTACTGGTAAAGAAATTGGGTCATGAATTTAAAAGTAAAGTAGTGATATATGGTCCAGTTGAAAAAAGGTAAACATTGGAAAAATGAGTTTTTTCTGTATCTGTCAAGCTGAGATAAAGACCCCCTTAACATAAAATTGTCCATATCTTGATTTAAGGCTAACAGACTCTCAAATCGTACTTTCTTGTTTATTTGACCTATTGATACTAATTGTATTGCTTTTTTGTTATTAAATGTTATTCAGGGTTATATCTTGTCTATATACCAGCTTTTATAAGTGTTTAGTATAACTATAAATTTTCACTTCGTACTATGAACATCAAAATTATTTATTTTGTAATAATATTTCCTTTCTCTATTGGTACTGTACACGTATACCTGACAACAAAATTATTTTCATTTACCTGTGTTTAAAGTTATTGCAAATGGATGGTATTTTTGTTCGAGCATATTGTTTTTCTTTAATTGTTTAACATTTCTTACCGATATAACATGTTACTTTTTCTTCCCTTAGTTTATTTATTTTGTATTTACATTGTGTCATAGGTCAAATTTATTTGTTCAGTGTATGTTCAATGGTGTTAATATGTCCTTTGATTGAGTTAAGCTATTTCAGTTGATATTTTATAGTGTGTCTTTCTATGTTGTGATGTTACACTATTGTTTCTTGAAAAATTGCAATAATAAATGCACGTAATAATTTCTGAATTTACAGTACACATATATTTTTTCTAAAAAATACAAAATAACTGTGTTCTCTGGCCACTTGGCATCCATCATACATACAATTTTCCAATTTTCATCTTTTCTGAAACCACTTTCCCAAAGCTTTTATGCCTAATGTATTGAAGGTCTTCTACAAACAATCCTTGTTTGGTTCCAAACGGATAATAAATGTAACCAAAAGAAGCAATGTTATAAAACTCTTTTCCTTTGAACTTGTAGGTTATAAAAGATGCAAAAATAGATTATATGTCCAAAATTGTAAGTTGAATTATTTGGTAGTGTAAAATTGATATCGCTTAAAACAATAAAATTATGTCAGTATTTTGTAAAAATTAAACATTTGTAAATAAGTCCAGAAATCATTCAGTTATGGTAATTTATTGTTATATGCTGTGAAATAATTGTTGTCAATAAAAGCACAAAAAATCTTAATGTTTTAATATCTATCTTAATGCCAATTTCATCATGTCAGGTAAGTTCTATAAGTTCATACATTTTCCAAATTTATTATTAAAACCTTTGAAAACACAAAGTTATGGGTATGTAGAAGTAGCTCAAGTGAGTTTTTCTCATCACTTTGGGACCTTTGTCGTCTGTTAAAATTTTACGAGAATCTTCTCTGAAGAAACTATTGGGCCAAATTTAACAAAAAAATCATCATTGGGGTATCTAGTTAAAAAAATTTGTCCAAGGACTCAGCCTGCCAACCAAGATGATTAAACATAGAACATGGGGGTCAAATGCAAGTTTTGCCTATTATTTTGAAAACTGCTATAAATAGAGAAATTCTGAGAGGAGCTTCAATGTTCAGAATGTTGAGCTCTACCAATTATCGCTATACTTCATAACAGTCAGATGACTTCTTATAGGAGTTATTGCCCTTAAATGACAAGTTTTACAATTTTTTAAAATTTGTTCTTTTTATCGAAAAAATTATAATGCTGTAAATTCAGAAATTATTGCGAGGTTTTTATTAATGCGAATAATGCGACTGGGTCAGTATCGCAATAATAAGAACTCGCATTATAATATCTGATGCATATATATGTATGCAGATTTTTCTGAAATCGCAATAATTAATCTCGCATTGGTGTTCATTCTTAAAAAAATCACAATAATAAATGCACGCAATAATTTCTGAATTTACAGTAGTTAGACAAACTTTAAATAGCAATTTGATCAGCAAGACAAGATTACAAATAAGTTAAACATGACCAAAGTCGTCTTCATATTAGAGTTATTGCCCTTTAATGATGATTTTTACCATTTTTCTGTGTTTTTGCCTAAAATCTGAAAAAACAATAATAGATGGATTGAAAAGGTAAAAAGCAAAATTGATCAACAAGACAAGATGTACAAACAGGTCAACATGACCAAAATTGTTAGTCGTCTCCTTATTGGAGTTATTACCCTTTAATAACAATTTTCCCATTTTTGCCTATTATATTGAAAACTGTAATAGATAGATAGAAACTTTTAATAGCACAAATGACGAGATCTACAAATGAGCCATATGGTCGAAATCTCGTTTTGGAGTTATTATTGCCTTTTAAATATAATTTTTTACATTTCTTTTTTTTGCATTTTTTGCCTATTATCTTGAAAACTATAAAAGATACATAGAAACTTTAAAAAAGTAAAATTATCAGCAGGATAATATCCACAAATATATATGTCAACATTACTGAGATTGTCAGTGAACTGTTAATAGAGTTGTTCCCCGTTAATGCTGAATTTTACTAAAAAGTGGTCATTGTTGAAGATGCAGGTGTGCGACACATGCTCTTTAGAACCTCTAGTTAATAACACTTCAACATAGTTATTACTCAATATGAAGATTTGCATAAAGCAAATTATAGATATAGTTACAGTGGAATTCCTTGTGTCTACCGATATTGCGCATTACCTGAATTGGTCATAACTGCAATGTAACATAAATATAATTTTTCTACAGTCTTCCAAAGGGACAGCAAATGTTAGAATTGAAAAGTTCAAGCATTTCTTAATTGCATTCAATTGAATAAATTATGGTAATTTCACTTCGTAAATCATAATTTTATTTACTCAATCTTCTTAAAATGCAGATCACATGTCAACGCTTTGCTTGCAAGGTTTGTTAGCAAATTTTTCTCTGCTCAACCGTCTCTATAAGTTTTTGAGCACTCTCTTCATTAATGACGAGAGACTAGTGTACATTTAACATTAAATTTTGATCATTTACGAGTTTTTGAAGACTTCACGTGCATCAGAAATTAGGGATATATCTCGTGGTTAGACAAGGTCATGATTATCAAGTTCACGAAAAGTATGAAACATTCTTAGTGGTCACACATATAACGTTGTCATTAATTTTTAATAAAGTTTTTTTCTTGTGTGAATAAAAAGATGTGTAGGCTATGCCTCTGTTCACAATGTCAATATAGGACTTTTTCGTTTCTAATTAATACGGAGCACAACTCCGACAAACGATCTTTTTGGAAAAATGTCCTTAAAAAGTTTCGTAGAATCGAAGCGACACTATTTTCTTACATTTAAAAAAAAAGAAGAAAAGATATAAAGCCATTTCATTTTGCCATTACTAAATTGGTACCACTTGTGAAACATTTCGTCTTCAACTGAAGTTGTGCTATTTGTGTATCAGATATACCTTTTTATTTTCATCTGGGTGTGTATGCGAAATGAAATGTGAATGATTCTAAAACGTTTTAGAATGTTTCTACAATCAGCTGGTCCTCATTTTACTTAAAAGGTAACATCTTTTTAATCAAGAAGTGGGAGTTAAATCTGATAAGAACTGAAACTAGCAGTTCTTACAATCGTTTTGAATATGTGGTGTTAATACAAATGACACGTTAAGTTTTCAATGTTTTCACTTTGGGACCACGGAACTGAATTGTATAAACCCTTGTTTGAGGGTCAGCTCTTTTAACCTATATTCCTGCAAAGTCACGTGTACATAGCATACTGGCGGAATGTCATTTAAATTTTCGTTTCAATGGTTCGATGTTAAGAAGAAAAGTATTAACTTGTATGTATTTAACTGCACAATTACCCTTTTTACTGTTACTATACTTTGGTTATTCCCATTACCAAATTTTCTTTGGGTGAAAAATTAAAAAAACTTTGGTTGCGTTTGAACAAGATTTTTATAGTAAGACTATACAAATTCTTGGTTTGAATAAAAAAAGAAAAACAAGATTTAAATTTTATACATTTATAAAAACAAAGTTCGCGAAAAATTGATACTACAAAAGCAAGATTTGACAACAGTGAACTTAAATATTGTGAACTTGTGTATACATGTATCCATGGAGAACGTAATTTCGTTTTAATATCAGATTGAGTACGTCCAAACCAAAGGTAGGTTTTTCTTCCTATATAAATATCAATTGATCATAAAATCAATACGAATAGTATAACTTCAATAAGGGAAAATGCAGAGTGGAACTGTCTAGTGTGCAAAACGGACGTACACATTGCGGCAATTCGTTTTTGATAGGTACCAAAAATGCGTCGGACTTTAACATGCACACAAAAGCACAAATTAGATTTGCAGAAGCTGCCCTTGTAAATAATATATATAATCTGTATGCAATATTGTACAAATGAATTGTTTACGAATACAAGCTTTTAAATTGTTTTAGACACAAATATTATTGTAACGTTCGTAATTAATCGGTCCCAAACCCAACCTAGCATCCCGGCAGTAATCGTATTCGTAATCGTAGCTAATGTCTTAGATATTTTCTTCCTTAATGAAAAAGTAGTAACAAAAATACCGAACTCCAAGGTAAATTCAATAAACAGCTGCGCCATGAGCGCATGACACGTCCGTCACTTTTTTCAATAGATATAAACCATTCACCAAAGTTTCATGAAAACTGCTCAAAGCATTTTTTAGTTATTGTCCGAAAACTGGAAAATCCCCCTTTTTTATACGACCGCAAAAAATTTTTGCGGTCGTATATTGGTATGACGTTGGCGTCGTCGTCGTCGTCGTCGTCGTCTGGCGTCGTCCGGCGTCGTCCGAAGACACATTAGTTTTCGCACTCTAACTTTAGTTTAAGTGAATGGATCTCTATGAAATTTTACCATAAGGTTCAATACCACAAAAGGAAGGTTGGGATTGATTTTGGGGGTTATGGTACCAAAAGTTAAGGAATTAGGGGCCAAAAAGGGGCCAAAAATAAGCATTTTTGTAACTTCCAGACATAACTTGTGTGTTAGTGTATGGATCTCTCTGACATTGTACCACAAGGTTCCATATCACACGGGGAATGCTGGGATTAATTTTGGGGGTAATTGCCTCAAAATATTAGGAATTAGGGGCCAAAAAAGGGGCAAAAAACAAGCATTTTTTTAGTTTCATGACAATAACTTGTGTGTTAGTGTATGGATCTTTCTGAAATTGTACTACAAGGTTCCATATCACAAAGGGAAAGCTGGAATTGAGTTTAGGGGTAATTGCCCAAAACGTTTAGGAATTAAGGGCCAAAAAGGGGCCAAAAATAAGCATTTTTCTAGTTTCCAGACAATAACTTGTGTTCAAGTGTATGGATCTCTCTGAAATTGTACCACAAGGTTCCATATCACACAGGGAATGCTGGGATTGATTTTGGGGGTAATTGCCTCAAAATATTAGGAATTATGGGCCCAAAAAGGGGCAAAAAACAAGCATTTTTCTAGTTTCAAGATAATAACTTGTGTGTAAGTGTATGGATCTTTCTGAAATTGTACTACAAGGTTCCATATCACAAAGGAAAAGCTGGAATTGAGTTTGGGGGTAATTGCCCAAAACGTTTAGGAATAAGGGGCCAAAAAGGGGCCAAAAATAAGCATTTTTCTAGTTTCCAGGCAATAACTTGTGTTCAAGTGTATGGATCTCTCTGAAATTGTACTGCAAGGTACCATACCACAAAGGGAAGGCTGGGATTGAGTTTGGGGGTGATGAATCATAAGGGGGTTCAAAAAATTTGGGGGGGGGGATTTTTTTTTTTTCTTTTAAAATTTTCCATTTTAAGTTGGTTATTTCTGTTTTATATTTAAAAGCAAATAATAATGATATGGTAGGAGATACACACCAAACAGGATGTGTAAATTATTATAAAATAAGTATTGTGCAATAGCAAGAAATTTTCAATTGCACAGTATTGCACAATAGCAAGAAATCTTCAATTGCACAGTATTGCGCAATAGCAAGAAATCTTCAATTGCACAGTATTGTGCAATAGCAAGAAATATCCAATAGCACAATATTGCGCAATAGCAAGAAATTGTCAATTGTACAGTATTGCGCAATAGCAAGAATATTCAATTGCACAGTATTGTGCAAAAGAAGATACTTCGTATAAATTGCTTATTTCTTGACCAATTTCAATGGGGTTTTATTCTTGAATTCTTGGGGTTCTTTAATATGCTGATTCTACCCGTGT